CGCAGTTCACCCTTGCGACCTTATCATATTAATATTGTCCTGGCGTTGTCAAGGCCACCCAGGACGATCGAGTTGCATACCACTTCGAGGCTTCATCGCCGGTTTCCAGGCCGTTTCTGTTGGGGCGTGCTGTCTTGCGTACTTACGGACTGCAGTTGGTAATTTATCATGCTTCTGGTCCTTGGGACCTGAATCTGTTTCTAGAGTTTCTTGTCCGCTACAAGCTCTCGAGCAGCGTGGCAGACATGTGGAGGGATGATTGTCGAAGCCCAGTCGTTCTGCGCCCTTCTCCGAGTGAACAGCGCCACTTGAGTTGCTGACCCGGGAGCGCATCTAGTTCTTGCTCTCTTGGTCTCTCGCTTGTTTCATAACTATGCGGCATTCTTGTCTGCTTTTCGATCGTCTTCCGCCCGTCCAGGGGCATTCATGCAGGCTCAAACCGCTTGAGGGGTGTTCCTCAAAACTTTCCCGCCAACGTGCATTACCGCTCGAATAATGACCAATTTACGGCGGCCTAGTTGCTCCACAACGCTTTGTCTCTCTCTTTCTGCATTTTCTTCCTTCCTTCTTCTTTCTGACCGTCATGGGATTGGCACCGAGCGCCGACAACACCTTCGGGATGCTCTTCGTCGCAGTGGCAGTTTCATCCGCGTGAGTTAACCGGGTGCAGTCTCCTCCGCGGTCCGTGACTCCTGTGCAGATTGTATGGAGGTCTGCTGCTCCGCCGCGCCCGCTCTGGCGATCCTCGCTGATGTCCGCGGATTAGCGGGGATTCTGCAGTTCTGGATGTACATCCGCAAGTACCATAAAAAGGATCCTTTGCTGGTCAAGGGCGTAGTAGGCCGCCGATGTTTGATTACATGCGCTGCAGGAATGATTAATCGATCAGGTCATCGCGGTGCAGATTCTGGATACTGTTCAACAGGTGCTTGTGTGCCACGCAGGTAATCGATTCCCTGCTGCAGCGAACGGGCGCTTACAACCAGTATAGTCTACAGATATCTGGGTGCGTTTTCGGACACACTTCATTTTCGGAACCCATTTATGAGTCACAGTGTCGTCCATGATGGATCCGACTATCCTGGGGAGCTCCGTCAAGTACGTTTCCTCAATTTGCGTTATCGCATGCCGATTGAACCCGAACAGGTCCTTGACGGTCGAGCTCATCTTCAGCTGTGCCATCACCACTCTTGTCCAGCAGTATGTTGTCCCTCGTCTCCTGCACAGTTCCTAACTCGAGTGCAGGTTCTACTGTTGGAGAATATACAAAAGTACTGCGCCGCAATACAACATTGGGTCGTCTACTGACAATTGACAGTTGGAAATAATGCTGTTTGGCACTTGCTGTAGCACGTCTTTCCATCCATCTCCATCCCCGCGTGTCTCTTCTGACTCGTTGTGTAGTCTGCTGTTAGCTGGACATCATGTGGTGCGCAGCCCGTATATCGAGCCATCGAACTCACCGTCTGATCTGAATACAGTGGTGCTCATGAGTGTGTTCCTTATCTGGTCTCCTCCTTGACCGACGTTTCCCCTGACGAGAGGCAGTATATGCGGTCAAAGCGGTCAAAACCAAGCTAATCACCGACATCATCAAGCTCAAGAACCTCTCCATCGCGGCGAACACCCTGTCTGCAGCGGCCGATATCACTATTTCTGTCGTGCTCGTGCCTCCTGCATGTAGCCAAGACGGGCTTCAAGCGATCAACAGACTTGATCAACCGATTGGTGCATTCTACTATCGCTCTCTGTGATCGCCTGTGCTGAGTGTGATGGCAGATGATCTTTAGCTTCAACACTGGTCTTCCTACGAGCATATGCGCTCTGGTCGCCACCATCTGTGTCGGTGGCTGTTCCACCTAAAGCAATCCTCTCTGACGTCCAAAATAGGTTGCTGCGTTCTCAAACACGTTTCTCTAGTATGTCTTCGCTGCATACGATTCGAGCCACCCTAAATCTAGCATAGCATATTCTTTTTCCTGCTGCGTAGGCTGACTCTTGCGTCTCCTACACGGGGAAATAAATGACCGCACGTTGCAGTGGGCCGGTTGTACACAAACTCAATTCTGGTCACCCTCAACTCGCGAGAATACATCAAATCAACGAGCGACAACCACAGCGACGAGCAGTACTCCCTGGAGAACAACTCCGTGCGCGCACGAGTGAGTGTTTTCTGTCGCACATGATCCGAGTCGAAATGTACTGAAATCCACCCCAGCTGCCACCCTCAGCTGCGACGAACACACACGATCCTATCACGATCCGGATCGAAACCAATACGATGCACGACTTTCGCGTAAGTCCTCGAGCCTCTGATGCCCGAACAGCCACTGAATGCCAGTTTTACAGTCAGCGTCGCTGGCAGACTTGAAAAACTAGCCCCTGGCAGGATGGTTCGGTTTATGTAAATAGATCTCTCGGGCACCTCTGTGATGATGTAATCGCGTGATATACGCACGACGCGTGAGGGCGGGCGGGCAAAATAGAATTCAATCATACACGGAGAGGAAGACATGGCCAACGCTACACAATCCCGTCACGAACCTGGAGCACTCTCATGGGTCCGTGCGGCCAACGACTCAAAGATCGCGCACCTTTTGCATGAAACCAGACACTCGACCGATGTCCAGCATCTGCGGATCGCTTTCCACAGCGATCACCAGGTTCTCGAGCATCTGCAGCACAAGTCAGTACACCCGCCATCTCGACGCACACACACACAACCAAGTCCCACGTACTTCTTCGACTTTGTCAATGGGGATCGCAGCACACAGCGAGATGATCTTCTTGCACTGGTACTCCTTCTCCGAGCTCACTCCATGCAAGCCTTTGAGCCGCGACTTGATCAGATCTTCCATCCGCGCATGCCACATCTTGAGCCGCCGCAGACGAATGAGGCTCGGGATGTCGTCTACAGTCGGAATCGGCGGCTCGGGATCGACATCCTGTGGTAGGTCGATGGCACCATCCACTCCGATCATCGTCGAGTTGGGGCCCCGCCACTGGAATGCAGGGCCGCCATTGTTCTCGTCTCCAGCATTCACATCTTCGGTCTCGTCCTCGACCTCGCCTTCCGCATCAGGATCCCCGCTGCCGTTGCTGCGCCCAGTCCAATCGAATTGGTCCTCGTCCACCAACGCTTTCTCGAGATTTCGTATCCGCTGATGCACCTGGTCTAGCTCGCCGCAGCGGGTCTGCCACGTTTGAATCTGTTTGCGCTGCTCTGATAGTTCGCGCGTCGCGGCCCGGAGATGAGCTTGCGTGACATCGAGCGCGTCCTGTTTGGACTTGATTTCGTGCTGGAACTCGTTACTCAAGCCTTGAATCATCGAGGTCATATCTGTATGTATCCGGATCAATAACAGGCCCATACGGAACTAGAAAACGCAACCTGCTATCACATCTTGGCTTTTCTGTACGGGAGGTGGAGGACCGGACCGTAACGATGTCAGGATGTCCGCTGGAGCCGTGCTCAGTTCCTAGGACCATGCGATCAGTTGGTCGTGGGACGAACCCCCCCTGACACGAACCTCGGTTTCGACCCCAAAGTCTCCGGGTCGTAGCCCGAGCTTGTTGGGGAGCATCCGGTTCGCGCCGACATCCAGCAGAGTCCGGACCATACTCCTGTTACCCACCCGAGCCGCGATATTCAATGCCGTGTCGCCATGTTCATCTTGCAAGTCAACAAACGTCTTGAACTGTCCGCCCTGGTTCTGTGCAATGTAATAGAAGATCTTGTCCAGATAATATCGAGCGATGGCTGCGCGGCCTTTGACGCCGGCCACAGAGGCTACGTGATGGAGCACAGATTTGCGTGAAGTATCGAGAGTGCGCACAGACGACCCCAGTGTGGTAATGAGCGTGTCGAAGGTGCAATTGTCACAGGCATGGGTCCCAAGGCATGCTCGCATCAACGGCGTCTCGCCCAGATGGTTCCCACGGTGGATGTCTGCGCCCTGCACGATAACGACGCCACTGTCCGCAGATGCGCGAGGCCAGCCGCGATGTGCAGGGCGCTGTGCCCTTGATCGTCGAGTATCGTGTCCGCATCAAATGGGGGAGGATTCGTATTGCTAGTGTTGACGACGGCCTCGGGTGTCAACTCCCGCAGGAGATCGAGAACGGCATGAGGGTCATCTGTATTGCATATTGCACTGATGGCAGATTGTCGGCGTTGGTCCCGAATCGGCGCTGTCGGGTCGATGTTTCGAGGAATAGAAGGTTTGCTCGCGAAGCGCGTTTCGTAAGTGATGTTCGCAGGAGGAGCATCCGGGGTTTGGTACTGACTGGGCGAGACGTCCCATTCATGGGCCCGTCGCTCACAGTAGTGGCAGTGGCAGTGGCAGTAGCAGTGGCAACAGGAGTTGGTGGAGTGTTTGTTGGCGCCGGTGCTGGAGGTGCTGAATCTGTCCTCGCGCGTTTCGTGGCTGAAGGCCCCCCATCTGCATTGGCTTGCGGCCCCACAGAAGCTGGTCGACCTTCAACACTGCTGCCGTATTCTACGCGCGCGCGAAAGTCAGTGGAGGGAGCTCACCCATGACAAATGAGACGCACCTGGAGCGCTCATGGCAACATCCACATCTGCTTCCGACCGATTCCGCTTCAACGAGTTAGGAGCGGTCGGCGGAGGAGTGTGGGCGGCAGTTGGGGAGAACGCTGACGAGCCATACGAAGGCGATACAAATCCCGAGCCGTGACGCTGCCCTGTCGTTGAAGGCGTGAAAAGGCCCTGCGCGCGTCCCTGGTTGAGGAGACGAAGGGCAGAGCCGGGCATAATGGGCGGTGGCGCGAGACTGGAAGGTATCTGTCCGGAGTAGCTTCCCTGCGAGCCCGGAAGTGTGCCATAGGATGAGGCGGCAGACAAGGGCCGGGGAGAGTTCGCCCCGATGGGCGCGGTGAGAGGAAGTGGTCCCAGCGAGCTTGTGCTAGGTATAAAGTCGAACAGAGGGGCCAGCAACGGACCCACACCGTATTGTAACGCGATATCCCGGCCACGCTCCAGAGGAATCCTGTCGCGATATGTCAATAAAGAAATGCACTGCGGGAAGAGCACGCACCAGGTTCCCTGGTACTTCCCATAGCCTCCCTGCACGATCTCGTGTTTCCCAGGTAGAATCTCCTTCTCGAGGATCTTTGTGCGTCTTCCCTTGTCCACACCCGCCACCTTGAGAATTTGCGTCGCGTTCACGTATGAATCGGCGCGTCGGCGCATCACCGCGATATTCCTGATCATACATTCGTACACCTAGCGAATACCATTGGTGGGCAATTATTGGACGGGAAAAGTCCGTGAACTACCTGCACGGATGAGTAGACGGCATTGTATATCTTCACCGTGTTGCCGCTCGACTGCATAGGGGCGGGAAAGGTACGGCTTCGCACGCGTCGTGGTGGTGGTCAAGAACAGTTACCGGCACGCGTTGTGGAGTTGATAATTGCAGTCACACTTTGGTTCAAACCAGGCAGTCACCTCTCCTCGATGGAAAATGGGGTGCAAGAGCGGCAGCCTCTGCTTAGCCGGTAGACTTCTCAAGCTTTCCACATGCATGGTGTTCACGACCCGCATATAGCGAGTCCATCGAGGCCACTCCCGTTTACCCCATCATCCATATGATCAGACAGGTGTGTTTCTCCGAGCTTCAATCTCCAATCTCCTGGTGTCCCCGGACTGACCGCAACATCCTTAGGACATCATAGTTTGTCTAGCCTCTCGAGCAACCATATGAAATTCATTGAGCGTTCCAGCACTTCATCGACACGCCTCTGACGTACGAGGTCGACGCTTCTCATTCAGACAACCTACTCCTAAACTCAATCAATCCACTTCTCTGCAGGCCTTGACCGCGCCCGACCTCACATACACGCTTATTCACCCGCTGCTGGAGAAATACTGCAACATCCAGCGGGCGCACAACAATCTGAGCGTGGTGTTCTGTCTTCTCCTGAACCGCATCCACTTCATTCGGGATGACAACATTGGTAATCCGCATCCTCTAGGCTCTCGATTCGAGGTCTCACTTGCGCCTGCAGTGACCTCAGCTGTGTCCGCCTCACGGGCGACCCTTTGCGAGATTTTAGCTATTCGCGTGCTACGGGACTTTGCCGAAAACATGATGGATCTGGCTCTCATCCTCACGACAAGTTGGCCGGGTGGGTCTGCGATCATCCGCAGGCTGGGCTGCATCTGAATGCCATTCAGTCTATTCGGGAGCCAGTCACGAAGCCCTCGAACACGGACGCGAAGAGTTTGTGGACTTTGATCCGGAAGAACGCGTGGGCAACGCGATTGAAATGGCTATTGTCGGCAAGGCCAAACGCTTCATCAAAAGCACTTCGTGTCAGAAGGTCATCGACGCGATTTGGTCGTGAGTATGCTTTGCTGCGTGTTCTTGCGTTTACCCCCGCGTCCAGGGGACGATATGTCTATCAGGCGGAGAGCAGCCACTCAATTCTGTCGGATGTTTGTGCTCCCAGACTTTCTTAGCATTTGGTGCTGATGAGCAGTCAGACATACAAACGCAATCCGGTACACTTCTACGATCCCCATAAGGCGCCTATGCTCGATCATTACCGGCATGCTCTCCAATCACCATTCGTGGAGATCTTCTGACAGAACTGTAGTCTCAAAGTCCCGGCCATTCGATCTGTGCTCGAATACATCAAGTGCGTCAAGCGCGTTTGCTATTGAAAGCGGTAACTGAATCTTGTTCAGCTTCCTCATTTTGTTTGTGCTGTTCATAATCGCGATCGAACAAAACGACCCGGAACGCATTAACCTGGCTGAAGGTATGTCGCACAAATAGATCCTGATCCTTGAATGTGACGTCTCCCCTTGAGCCCCATTTATGATATACGCTTTGGGATTTACGCTCGAAAAGATAGCAGCTATGCAGGAACATGGGATCAAAGGTGCGAGGCCATGTTTACATTCTCGGACTCGTGTTGATGCCTGGAATCAAGTGTATTTCAAGGGTACTTGGGTTAGTCCTGTAACTTTATCCCGCCTCGTAAGCTGACTTTGCGGGTAGAATGGGTTCGACACGGCTTTTGGTAAGCTTCAGCATTCACTGTCAAGCCAGGCAGTACCGAGCAAGATTGACAGTGGCCACATACTGCTGTTATGCGTTTTTGAGCGTATACGGTGTCTACTATGACCGTCAGCACCCTCTTTCATGCTTTGACGTTGCCGTTTACCGTCTGCCAGATCCTGCTGCTCGGTCGACCGGTGTCGATTGCTTGGCGCTGATTGCATGCATGATGTTTCCGCGATTGGCCTTCGTCACTCTGAAGAACAATCTGATGGTCCTCAGTCTTCGAGCAATGATAATGCAGTTCGCCATCCTGATGATGATTGCCGCATTCTGCTTCTGTGGTTTTCTCTACGCATTATGGACGTGAGTGACTTCCTTTCCTTTCTAAGTCCATTACATAAATCGTCCCAGACTGAGCCGCAATCAAGCCGAGTGTGTTCCGTTCCTTTTTGCGAGACAAGCCCTCATTTCTTAGATCCCATCCTCCGTCGACAATAGCATGGTGGATGTTGGATCTTTGGTTTGGATTGGATGCCAGTGGCTTCGACGAATCTAGTGCGTTTTCCTGATGTATTCTGCTGCTCATATCTGATGATTCAGCCCATTTTCACCCCATCTTTGGGCCTATCCTGATGGTCACCTACGCGTGTTTGTCGAACACACTGCTTCTGACTGGTCCGTCTACCTTCGTGATACTTTGATCTCTTCAACTGACCCGCCATGCAGTGCTCGTGTCTGTTCGTCTTTTTCTTGTAATACAGTGGAATTGTGCTGAACCAAGTAGATCTTGTCGAATACATTCGCCACAATCAATGAAGATGCAGCTGCAGAGGTACTTACTCATCACGATCGCCGACGTCCACCGTGACTGACTCTCAGTCAGGCCATGTTCAGAAAGGCCGTGTCAACCATTGAAGGGTTTGGAACTGAATGAGCACGCCAGGCCAGATTTATCTGATCTGTCTACAGCGTCAAAGCCGACTCGCTCTTTTCATACCAACCTCCCATCAACTTGATCGCATTATGTGTTATGTTGCCTGCGAGTTATGTCCTTTCGCCTCGGTGGTTCCACAAGGTGCTACAAATCGTGTATATGATCGTGAAAATTCTGTCTAATCCTCAATTATAGGTCAACGTTTTCATGATCAGGCACGTGGGATATCACAAACGGATGCAGTGGGCTGAACGGCATCTGTGTCTAGGCTGACGAGCTTCCCCGTACTGCTTATGATCGGATTGTATGAACGACAGGCTAAGAAACACGGAACAACCAACATCTACGAGACGATCACAACTGTGCTGGAGCGATTGTTGGAGTCTCTGCCGAGACGCCTCAAGCTTTTGAGTGCGTCCTTGCCACTGTCTCGGACCCTCATCTCAGTTTTGCCAGCCATTCTCGAAGGACTTGCTGGTTCAGACAGCGACATTGATATCGCGAGTTGACTTCCGGGTGTCTATTCGAGCTATTCTGACTATTTACAGGTTTTTGAAATCGAGGATGATCTACTGGAAAGTGCTCTTGCCCGAGGTGAAGTGCCAGTCACCGCTCACCACGTATCGAAACCTCCGCCTTCACCTCCTCACCGACCGCCCACCACGACACCTCCCAATGGCGTGTCCCCTCCCGGTCAGCGGAATCGTGTTGCGTCGCTCTTGCATCGAGGGACCGAGGCTGCACAATCGTTCACTAGTCCGCTCGCTCAGATCTTCCAGCCCCTCGTAATCGATGACGGCGGGATTCCCGAAGACGAGGCGATTTCTCTGGGTCCTCCTGTCACACAATCGCAAGCGCAATCGCATTCCTATCCTAATACTCTCGCACCGCCGCCAGCGGGTGTGAGCTATGGACCGGCTTATCGCCGGAGACTCTCTTCGATGCATGTTCGCGACGCCTCGGGTCGTGCTCAGCTGCAAGCCCATGCTCGACGCTCGTCCGAAACTCCCCGCATGATGTTCCCGCTCTCGGATGACCCGTTCTCTACCAGCCCTGACGAACACTCGCTTTCTGCTAGCCCCGACCATCGCACGCCGTCCACCGGCTCTCTGCCGACGGCCGAGGACGTCGAGGAAAATAAGGACATGCCGATCATGAGGCGGCTGGACGAGATGGATGCCAGACAGAAAAGGATAGAGGAAATGCTGCAGATCCTGGTTCGCAAGTAATTTGACATACATTTACTATATGTAACAAGAATACACTAAGGATAAATAGCATACACGATTCAGTATCCTCGCCGTCGGGGCCAGCCAGAATCCGGTTGACGGGCCTCGTTGCCTCTGGGATGGTAGCCGTACTGGCCCTGCTGACCATAATGAGGGGGTGGCGGTGGCGGTGCGGGATACCCAGTTCCCCATTGTGGCTGTGGCTGTGGTGGCTGTGGCACTGGGACTGGAGCTGGGTTGAGGGATGCGTTGGTCAACGTCTGGAGCATGAGGCGGACCTGCTCCGGTGTGAGCGCAGCCACCTCAAACGCCAAAGTGGAGGGTTCCATGATCGCCGGCGGTGGGAAAGCGGGAGGTGCCGGGGTCATGACAGGCGGAGGCATGGGTGGCGGTGTGGCCAGTTTGTTTTTGTTGAGCACCCATATCCCGATCAGGTAGTTGCTCGTTCGAACGGTGGGCAGGCTGAAGTTGTCCAGGACTTCCATAAAGTCCGGAATCGCGTCGCTGGAGAGCAGGGGAACCATGTAGAGCTCTTTCCCCGGGTGGTAGTCCTTCGGGCGGCTTCCCCAAGGAAATACAAGTCCGTGTCGCCTAAGATGGGTTTAGCATGTGTACATCATTCAGATCCACCCCGGTTCGGAGAACGCACCCTTTAGCGATCAAGAAGTCCATCAATGTCTGGAAGCCAGAGTCGCCGTCTTCGGATACGGGTGAGAAAGAAGCGGCGACTAGTTCCTTGGACGAGTTCATTCTGGTCTGCAGAAGAAACTGCGCTGACTTGTCCGTCGGAACCCGGCCGTCGATCCGGAGCAGATCGGTCGGGAACAGCGTTTTCCATAGAAGAGAGTCGTGGTCAATTTGACGGCCACCGATCTGACGCGCAGCCACTCGTGTTTCTTGAGGGATCGTCGAGTCGATGGGCATGCATATCTGCGGAAATGAAACGTTAAGAGATATAGACTCGTTTGGGCAATGTCGAAGACAGACCTTGCCAGTCCAGACCTGGGGTTTTGCTTCAAATGCAGCCAAGAGAGATTCAGAGGGATCCTTCTCCTCCAAGAACATATCAAAGTCCTTGTCGTCCGGCTCGTTGTCGACTTCCATCGCTTCGTCAGTTCGATCGTCCGTCGCTGGAGGTGAAGCTACAGAATCGGTCGGATTCGGTTCCGTCCATAGTGCATCGAGATCGAAAGAGGGTGTGTTGTTGGCGAAGGGAGAGTTGCCTGTCGGCGACAGCGTCGGTGCAACGACAGCCTCACCCGCTGTGGATTCGACAGGTGGGTTGGCTGTGGCCTCCACTGGCCCCAATTCATCGTCGATATTGATCAAGTCCGCAAGGTTCATTTCTGGCTCTGCACTCATTTCGTTCGCGTCTGGCCCTAGCGCAGTCTCTGGCGCCTCAGGCATCGACGGCAAATTATGCGGCACATCCATCCAATTCCCAGTTATGGGCGTGATCGGAGACTCCGGAGGCATAGACATCGATGCAGTCCGAACTCGCTGTCGTGCCTCTAGCTCTCTTTGCCGTCTTTCCTCCTGCTCCCGCTGTCTCTCTGCTTCCCGCTCGCGAGACAGAACTACACTGTCCACTTCAATATCCTCCAATCCCTTGTGCGTTATTTTGGCACGCGGCACAAGCGTCTTCTCCAGGATGGAGTGCTCCAGTGCCTCTTTCTCCGCCAACTTGATCGATTCCTTCGTCTGTTCATTCGCTAGATCAGTCGTGGACATCAGAGATATCTCCTTAGGACTAATATCTCCCGATGCTATGCGTCTGTGCAACACCGTACGGTCTTCCTTGCTGAGATTGAACTGCAACATCCGAAAGCGATCCCTGCGAACAAGATTAGCCCATTTACTTTTCGTGACTGGAGACTTGAAACGTACTTGTAACTGGCACCCGCCGACGGTCGGCCTTGCTTATCGAACTCGGAGTAGGTCTCATACAAGCATCGTTCCAGTTCAACAGCGAAAAGCTTAGCCTCTTGCTCGACTTTCGTCTTCTCTTCGTCGTTAAGCTCGTCTGTTGTTTTCTCGACAGCGCCGATGTACGGATAGCGATTGAAGATTGTCTGGAAAACGACTTCTAACTTCTTGAGACAAAATGCGCGCGCGGGATCGTCATTCGCATCAGAGGATGACTCTCGTTTGCGTTTGCTGGGTGGGGCAGCGGTGCTCCTGGGCGCAGCCTTGCGCTTGACACCACTTTTGGCTGCGACTGTCGGAGACCCAGCTTTGCGAATGCGTCTGTGCTTTTTCTCCGTGCCAGAAGCTTCAGATTCGGAGTCCTCAGAGAAAGAAAGTCGTCGCGTTCGGCGCTGGGGGAGCCTACGTCAGACCTACATTGTGTCAGAATGGAAGATGGAACACACCTTGCTCGGCTTGGTTCTCTCTGCAACATACTCGTCCTCGCTGCCCTCGTCCCCTGACTCGTCTGACTGGCGTTCCTCGACCACCAGTGGTGTCACTCTTGGTTTCTTTGCAGTATGTGTCGGTTTGTCCCCACCGACCTCTTCGACGGCCTCAGGGCCTTCCCATAACACTAACAAAAGAGTATCGGGTCAGCTCAGCTAGTCAGATGAGGGGTACTGAGAGAAAAGATATGCGCGTGGCGTAGATCTCCATGAACATCGGAGCACATGTACATAGACCAAAAGACAAGTACTGATTGGAGCGCCGCTAGCAACCGTAGTTTAATTCCACAGGGCCAGCGTGCAAGTGCGACCAGGCAATGGATCGCCTTGTATGCATACATCGTACTTGAGTGAAAGGTGCAGATAATGTGTCGCGGGGCTTTACAATGGAGAGGCAAACGATATACAACTTGACTACACGACAAGGGCGAACGGGGAGGAAATGCCACTCACTGACTGTTCGTAGACCGGTCGTTGAAGCACAAGGGGGGCAGATGTACACATCTAGAAGAACATGAGATAAAAGCTCGCATAGAACCAAGTGAGACATACTGATATCGTTGGCAACCTCTTCACCCAAGTCAACACATGAGAAGTGGTACCTAGAAAAAAAGATGAGTAAAAGTCAAGATGGGAGGAGAGGTCGCACCATTCATCGCACTCGCTGCAGTTGACCATCGGAGATCCATCGTCGCCTTTTCTGCACAGACAAAAGAGAACGGCCGATTTGACGTGTTTTGATTTTGATTTCGAGGACAGCAGGACAGTCTCGTTTTCTAGCTTCACAGAAGATCTTGTTTTGGTGTCAGATTTAGAGACTGCGGTCTTGATGTTGGACGCCGCCCGGGTCCGCGCGCGTGTGCTCATCGTCGTTGTTGACGATGTCGTCAGAGTCAAGGAGCGTTTCAAAGTCCGATCGGTTGCTCGTGACTATGTGACTAAACAATTGCACACTGAGTCACGTGTAAAGGCCGATCAAGTATCCGAATCTGGCAGCTATTTCGAGGATTCATACTCGTCATGCACTCAATCTCTGATTCCTGTGAACAGAGGAGACTTATCGCGGTTCCGATCTTACAACGAATCTGATCCTCTTTCGGACCGAGTGAGCCATCTATTGTGCATATGCATATGCCGGTTGTTGATGCGAAGCAATCGGTTGATTCTCCGACGTTTTCCGAGGCCTGAATTTCTGCACACCAGTGTGATAAGGTGAGCAAGCTCTGAGATGCGGACGAGCCCTGAGGCGTGTTTTTTGGGGCCTCCAGTGGAGGGCTTTGCGCTCGAAGACGGGTGCGGGCGCATGTACGTGGATAGCCTGCATCATCAAGCGCAATCACAGGCGGCAGCTTCTGCTGCTTCGAAATCTGCTTCGTCGTGTTGGATAGGTAATTTGACACACACGTGTTGGATCTGCTGACTGTGCTGACCGAGGGCTGGCCTGCAGCCGGACTGGCGTTATCAGCTCAGTGTTCTGGAGAGGAGACGTTCGGTACATGAGATAGATTGCTGCATCCTGTGGCGGGACCCGTGTGTGCCTTCCTGTCCAAACGGCAGTCGGCATATGCGTCATGGGCTCGTCATGTCTCAGACTGCATTTGTAAATTCCACCAATTTCACTTCTTTATGTCGCGGGTCCTGACTGCAAGTGCCTCCGAGCCCAGTCCAAGCGTATTGGTCAAGCCAGGCTGAAATATATTCATATTCAATATCTTGACCGGTCGCGGCCAGGATCACGGATCAAAGCCTCTGTGATCAGCTCCGAGTGGTCGAAGTTCCAATTGGGGAAGCACGGCTGAGGCAGCTTCTTTCCGACAGCCAGTAAGCTGAGCGTTGTGCCGCCTGTCCCGGACCGCGGCGCTGCCAGCTCACCCGTCATTCCTTCATTGAACGCTCACGGGGCCCGGGAATATATTGTCGAGGGTCAGGGAGTGCTCGAATCTGCGGGCCTTCCACTGGTCAGGTCAATCAACCTAGAGCCATCGTTCAGCCCGGTCGGCAGTTCTTTAGAAGAGTTCCACGCGCAAGCTAAACGTCAGTCCAGGCTCCTTGCTGCTCTTCCTGTCTGAGACTCACACGGACCGTCACCCCGCCGCTAATAGAGCCCACTTATCCCAGTTAGTAACACTTTCTCCAAACGGCCTAACGACTCGTCTCCTTCCCATACGTCGCTCCCCAACTGGCCATTTACTTACTGTTATCAACTCATGTCGTCTACAGGCTGATCCGATCGAGTCTCTCTTTGCATACTCGCGCGCCCTCGCCCACCGTTTTCGTTCGTCGGTTGGCCCAGCCTCCCTGTTATGGCAACCACAGTCGTCGCTCCTGTAAACGTCCCGGCGTCTACGTCCAGTCATTACCACATACCCTCTCACCGTACACCGTCCAAATCCTCCGCGACACCCGGAGCATCCTCCTCTCGTTCAACATTCCAAAATCCCAGTGCGACTATCAAGGCTACAGTACCTGAGTCTGCGCCCAAGACTTTCCATCGGATACGTTCGTCTCTCGAGCAGAGCTTGCGCACGGCAACTCGCTCCAAAAAGACGATCCCGACACCGGACGATGATTTCGCAACGCTATCCCCAGGGACGGTCAAGGGTAAGGAGCGTGCGACGGAGGAGAGTAAGGAAAAGGCGAAACCTCTCTGGAATTTTCGGCGAACGACCAGGCAGCCTCCCCCTTCTCCATCGCCAAGTCCAGGTCCTGACAGGAGCGATACTGAGCACGGGGAGTACATCTCACCGACCTTACGGCAAGGATCGGTGTCCTCACCAGCGCTGCACATTTACTCTCAGGCGTTGCCCTCCCCCAATTCGCACTCGGCCATCGCGGCTTCGTCGTCGTCGAACAGTGACGCGCTAGTGTCTCCGACTCGCACCAAGCGGCCCAGTCTGCAACCTGTTCAGCGACATCTTAGCGAGTTGCCACCGTCAACGCCCAGAGTGACACGGCATCGGTCGACCAAGTCAAACCCACTCAATTCCGTAGCGCCACCGGTGTCTCCCCCTCCCACGAGGGTAGTCAGCTCCCCTCAGACACCAAGACGAGCGACTCGTGATTTGCCTGCTTCCCCACCAGATACGCCAACGCCGGCATCAGGATCGCGCGGTCACATCGGACGATCGTCTTCATCTGCAAGCGTGACACATCTGCCATCGCACACCGCTGGTCTGCCAGCCTCTGCATCTCGAGGGACCAGCCCTGTTCCCATCCGTTCACGTTCACCTTCGAGGCGTGTCGTTACTCCATTACGAGGTCTATCATCGCCGTCAGGATCACATCACCTTGCTCCTTCTCCTTCGCCAACAGCTGTACGACGTACTTCCATTGACTCTCCACGTCGGCCGTCGTTCCGGGACGAGTCACCTTCCCCATCACTGATACGTCCACGTGACAGGCCCTCGTCTCAGCAGCGCGGTGCATATAGCCACAGACAGTTCAATGCGTCCACCACGTCTCTAGCTTCCCCATCAAATCCTGAGCACCGAGATCTCATCAGGACAGCGACATCGATGCTCTGCAAAGAGGTCATCAAACCACCACCGCACATGGCAAGAACAGACGCTGGAATGAGAGACTGGCAGGAAGTCGAGGTTCGGGTTCGGGCTCTGTCTCGTTTGGAGCGAATCTGGGGGAAAAGCGGAGTTGGAGGAAGTTCAAGCAACATTACGTTGGGCACGCCGTCTGGGATCAGTGTCGCTGGAGAAGAGCGGGAACGACGACTGTTTACAGAAGCATTGAGAGATGGCTTCGTACTATGCCAGTGGGTACCGTCGTTTTGGTTCTAAGCTGATATGCTCATCTCCCATGCCAGGTTGATCAATAAACTGCGGTCGAGCTCTGTTGTGCGGCCAGACGTTCGGGATGATGGATTTGTCCGGACATCCAATATCACCAAGTTCTTGGCTGCTTGTTCCTCATATGGTTTGGCAGAGGAGGATCTGTTTCAGCGTGATGACCTCATCGAGGGGACGAGCGAGTCCCTTGCTCGCGTGGCCCACACCATCATCACGCTGATCAAATACGTTGACGCGCCCAGGTTCAGCAACCAAAAGTCCGGTTCTTCGGCAAGCCCCTACGGGCCGGGCAGTTCCAGGGTTGCCCTGTCAACTCCGAATTTGCACTCGACCGCCCCACTAGCTTCACCGGTGAGGCCACGCTGGACTCCACCCGCGGACTTGTCGCATGGCGGCCCGGACGAAAGTTCAGGCGAAGAACACCTCAGCAAGGACGACACAGCGACCTTGAACGCCAAAACCGAATGTGATCGACCGTCGCCGATCGATCGACCCGTCATGAGAGATAAAGAAAGCCCGACCACATTGGCTCTTCCCCCTCGGTCTCCCCTCCGACCTTTGGCGGTCAAGGTCGACGATGATGCACTGCAAGTGAGCCAGTCTGACTCGCGTCAATCCATGCTCTCGACATCGAGCGTCATGACGGAGTCGACGATGATGTCCAGCCTCCTGGACGTCACCCGCCACAGCTACAAGTATGGGACCATCCGGACCGTGACAACCGATATGACCTCTGAAGCACCCAGCATCTCTCGCGCGGAGGGAAGCTCCATTTCGGAGGACTTGGCTCGAAAACGTGTCGACTCTAAATCCTTCCAGCGGGAGGCCAAGATGAGCGAGACTTTCATCGATCTGTCCCGGGTGGAGGAGATGGACGAAGCCGGAACTGCGTCTAGGGGCGTTGGGAAGCAGTGGGAACAGAAGATAGACGGGCAGAAAATAGACAAGGTCCGACTGGGGAAGGGTAAGTGGCCCGATGATTTCATAGATCTGGCACCTCCCCCCAAATCCCCCACTTCGTCTGAGCTTCGTTCCCCGTCGCCGTCTGTCCTCTCCTCGTCCGGCCCGCGGAAAATCGCCATCGTTGGTGCTCCTAAGCGCAATGACAGCGCCGAGTCGTTGCCACAATTCCCTCGACGTCCTACCCACCGGGCACGGCACAGCATCGATGTGCCACCTCAAAGCCCGTCCGCGTTGTTACCCAAGGATTCGCTTTTGCGTCGGGATAGTAGTCCGGATGGCATGCCTGCCGGTAGCCGGGTCATCGTACGCCGCCACAGCACCAAGCCCAAGGAGCGCAACGGAGATGCCGACGCGGCCGTTCCATTCCCACGAACTACATCGGGCGAGCACTCAAGCTCACCCCCCGATCGTGCTGCGTCTCCAATCAGCGACAGACCACGACAGCCGCGCGGTCGTTTCCAGAGCGACCTCGAGGCCAGTAGCAAACGACGTAGGCCTCGGCCTAGCTCTTACGACGAATTGGGCGCGCGGCCGTCTCGGTCCAGATTCGAGAGCATGATGAACCTCGGTGGTGCTTCAGGAAACACGAGTGCCAGTGACCTGCTCTCTCGCGACTCGCTCGATGCTGCGACACAGAAAATATTGACTGTTCGGGAAGAGGGCAAGGTCCCGATACATTTCGTGAGTGTTTCTGTGTCTGACGTGTTGATGTCGATGCTGACCTTTCTCCATCCAGCAATTGGCCAACTGTATTGGGCGCGGGCAGTTTGGTTCGGTGTACCGAGCGATGAACCTGAACACTGGGCAGATGGTTGCAGTCAAACGCATCCGACTGGAGGGCTTGAAGGAGGACGAGGTGACGACGTTAATGCGGGAGGTTGATCTGGTGAAACGTCTGTCGCACCCCAGCATTGTTAAATATGAGGGCATGGCTCGAGACCAAGACACGCTGAACATCGTGCTTGAGTAAGATGCTTCATGAACGGTTCGTATCCCATCTAACGCCCTTGCAGATACGTGGAGAACGGATCGCTGGGCCAGACTCTCAAGGCCTTCGGGAAGCTTAACGAGCGGCTGGTCGCCAGCTACGTCGTGAAGATCCTCGAAGGGCTGCATTATCTCCATTCCAGCGACGTCGTCCACTGCGATCTCAAGGCTGCGAACATCCTGACCACCAAGAACGGCAACGTCAAGCTGTCGGACTTTGGAGTGTCCCTCAATCTCCGAGCCATGGAACGCGAGATCAAGGATGTGGCCGGCACCCCGAACTGGATGGCCCCCGAGGTGATCGAACTCAAAGGAGCATCTCCCAAGTCGGACATCTGGTCTCTGGGATGCACAGTCGTGGAGCTGCTGACCGGCCGGCCGCCGTATGCCGAGATCGCCAACAGCATGTCGGTGATGTTCCGGATCGTGGAGGATGACTCCCCCCCTCTCCCGAGGGGTGCTCGCCCTTGTTGGACGACTTCCTGAGCCAGTGCTTCAACAAAGATCCGACGAAGCGGCCGAGCGCCGAGTTCCTGTGTGAGCATCAGTGGCTGAAAAAGAATTGGGCAGGCCACAAGGTATGTTCTCGCTGAATGGAATTAGACCGATATTGATGAATGGTATAGCAGTTGAGACCGCAAGACAGTATTCCGTTCCTGCGTCGGGTCAGTGTCGATCTGCAGAAGTCGGATGCGGTCCGCTTCCTGGCCCAGGTCGACATGAGCGAGTCTCTCGTGGACGCCGAGGGACTGATCAGCAGCTCACCGCCAGGGCGGCGCATCTCGCTCACCTCCCGGCCTATGGACCAAGACATCGTTGCGCGTGACCATTCCTTTGTCAAGACCACTTTCAGCAAACGTGAGTTGGCTTTTGCCCCGTCTGTCCGCGATTTTCTGATGTTGTGGTGCCAGCCATGGTCTGTCGCGTTTGTCTGCAGAATGCCAAGAAGAGCGCCGTCATTTGCGAGCAGTGCAGCTTGATAGCACATGCCCGATGTGCTGTCCATGCTCCTCCGACATGTGACTTGAGGTCACAACTCCTGCTATACGCCCAGTATGCTGAGAAAGGCAACCCGTCCAGCGCCTATGTGAATCCGCTCGAAACTCTCCCTGAGCCTCGCCCAACGCCGATCACGGCAGCTTCCGAGGTCGCTTATGTAGCCCACACTCCTCGGACTAGTCTTGACGGTGTCGCACCTTCTGGCCTGACTCCAGGGGGACCACTTCCGCCGGCGTTCAAGTTCATGGCGGCGTTCAAGCGGTCCCGGTCGAATCTGTCTCCGGAGCCTGGTCACGCTTCCTCCTCCGGCTCTGTTGTGCAGCTGCCCGCCAAAGATGCGAACGGCAAGCGACTGCACAAGCACAGGGAGCGTCCACAGTCCGTAAAGAGCAGCACGAGCACGAACCCGCAGTCCGACAGCCTGCGGAGCGGAGAGAGCATCGGGAGCCGCTCTAATGCCAAATCGATGGACGAGATCCGCTCTGACGAGATGCAGCGCAAGCGGTCTCGGCTGGGGTCGCGTGTGTCTGAGTCGAGGATCTCTGAGTCTGAGCCTGTTTCTGCAACCACAGCTGGCCACAAGAAACGGTCCGAGTCGCGGTCCGGCTGTGTCATGCAGTAATTTATCCTTGTCTTATCAATCGTTTCGCTTGCATATCTCAATCTCACCTCTGTACCAACAACAGACCATCACCTGACTTTCTTACCCCGTAACATACTTGGCCGATATTGCATACACTGTAGTGTAACTAGTACATACACCCTCGCATACCTCCTATACATACCTCCGTGTCAAGATCAGCTCGGCAATGTCGACAATGACGTCATATCCGATCAAAGTCCTTCAGTTTGCATCTTCCTTATCCGTACGCCATCTCATGCGGAATGCGCTTCTGAACTCCCGACCCCGACCCATCCTACCTGACTTGTCGCATCTGGAACTTTCAAGGCTCTGGGCTGCTTCCTCGCGCGTGGTCTAGTCCCGTCTGTCAAGCGATTCTAACGCACCCGCAAAGAACACGTTTTGCAAACAATGATCTTTACGGTCTAAATCCCCCGGCACCCCCGTCATTATATGTGTTTGGGTACCGCCTCGAGGCTGCTTGCTTGTCCCAGCTCTTTGTTCTGCCAGGACTACCTATCCGCAATATCTTGCGAATCCGCCGCGATGATCCTCCCCTGGAAACTCCTTGCTCTCGTCGGATTCCTCCTGGTGGCGTCTGAGGGCGGCATGTGTGCCACGGCAGAGCGCGAGACCAACGCGTCCCGGATGCAGCGGGGTCTGCCGCCTCTGCCGCCGAGATTTGCAAGACGCGGAATGGAGGGGCGCGCGACTGGTAGGTGGCCATACTTTCTCTGCTCTACTGTGCTCTACTGTGTGATGGATGCGGGGATCTCTGGCTGATTTTTTCTCAGCGTCATCGACCGTGAGTGCCTCCAGACCATCCCACACCCCTTGAGGCTAGCACGATCTGTTCGCGCGAGACACGCGAGTTTTTTCCCACTTGTGTCTTTGTGCGATGGTGTTGATACATGATGCAGGAAAGACACAGCAGGAGGACGATGGTCCGATGGGCGTGTCCTGTAAATAGACGCCGACCACGATGGACGTCACCCACGATAGACTACTCTAATGATGCACGGACTTGTACAGAACCTCGACAAAATTGTTTGATCATCAATTTCCTTATCTGGCGTGGCGCTTCTAGAACGCACACAACTCCCGCAGCCTCTCAGCTTCTTTCCACTTTTCTCACGAGACTCACATGTTGTCTCCCGATCAGAGTGCTTCTTACTCAGGATGCTGTTGCGAGATGATGCACTCCCATGGATAGATAATGAGCTTAAGTATCCAGCCGGTCAGGCCATGAGAGATCCCAATCCGCTCCGCAGCCATGGACCTCAAGGAAGAGAAAACGTCTGAACAGACAGTCGAAGAGCGCTCCTCAGCCAGCTCGGACCACAGCGGCACCCCCGCACCCGTCGCGCTCGAGACGTACCTGTACTACGCCGCGCTGCAGCGCGCCGCCGAAGCAGGGTCCGACGCGAACCCGCACGCGGGGGGCTTCAACTCCTGGCTGAACGGCCGATCCGCGCATAAAGGGCCCAATGCGAACATCGACGCCGCGCCGCACCTCGAGAAGCACCGCGGCATCACGCTGTCCGAGCGCGAGACGGCTTCGCGGGCGCTGCGGCTCGCGTCGTGGTCGTCCGTGTTCTATCTTATCACGACAGATATCCTTGGCCCGTTCAACGCACCGTTTGCTATCTCCCAGGTCGGATGGGTCCCTGGTGAGTGCGCAATATTGTGACTTCGCTGGACAACGCGCTGAGCTCTCAGGGATTATACTGTACTTTATCAGTAAGTCGCGAGCTTTTTTACGGGTTATTTGTTTCAAACAACCATCCCAGTGGGTCTGGTCGCGCTCTATACGGGCCTGATCCTCTGGCGCTTGTTCGTGCGCCTCGACTCATTGCGTTATGTACGCGATCTTCATTCGGTGCCATCTGAAACTGCCGGACCTGACGTCGCTGCAGCCTGTGCTGAGCTACGCCGATCTTGCGGAGCGTATATTCGGCACCTGGGCGCGACGGGTCTCGCTCGTTCTGCAAAGTCTCCAGCTCGTCGTCTTTGTCGGCATCATCTGTTTGGGGAACGCGCAGGCTCTCACCCAAGTGGCCAAGCACCGTGTTCGTTTGAAGCGCGGTTGTAAGGTTGGAGCAGAAGCTGATTGCCTTTCCCAGTTGTGTTTCTCCATCTGCATAGTCATCTGGGCCTTCCTCGGCATGCTTATCGGCCAGATTCGCACACTCAAGGTAGGCCGCTCCCCGCTTATTCCTGTCCCAACAGACTTGTTCAGGCTATGAATAGAATTACGGCTGGCTGGCCAATTCAGCCGTGTGGTCAGTGGGAACCCTCCCACCGATGATCAGCCGCCTTATTCAGTGCACAGGATCAACCTCTTGATCATCTTCACCAGCATGGGATTTGTGGCCCACAGCCCCCCGAATTTTGCAGCCGCATTGTCGTCCCTCGGGGTCCCCCAAGGCCCGGTTCAGACTCAGACGTTTGCGAAGATTCCGCTGTTCTCTCAGGTGCGTGCGGAGCTCGCTTGGATGGGAGACAATCACCGACCGACTGAACTTCTCAGGTCAACGGGATCATGAACATGGTATGTCCCACCGCGCCACCATCAAATTAGAACAGGATAGACATTTCCCGCAGGTCTACGCTTATGGGGGTGCCATGATATTCCCGGAAATTATGGCCGAGATGCGGCGTCCGATGGATTTTTGGAAAGGAATGGTAAATGCCACCTTTGCACCGAATTTCAGACCGTGAGTTGACGATGGCAATCAGGTCATGGCCCAATCGTTGATCTTCACGGCTTATCTTATCTATGGGGCCTTCATCTATGTTTGTCGGATCTCCGTTCACCGCCCGACCACGCATTGATCTTGGTTCTTCTTAGTCCCAGCAGGGACAATTCGTGCTGCCGCTAGCTTACCAGGGCGTGAGCAAGTATGCGTGGCAGACAGTGGGGAATGTGATGTCCTTGGTCACGGGCATCATCGCAGGAGGGCTCTACGGCAACATCGGCATCAGTGCGTCGTCTCAGTCGAGAACAACAAGACGATCGTTGACGCGTCTTTCTCAGAGGTCGTATATCACAATCTCGTAGAAGATTGGTTCCAAGGGCCCCCCCTGATGTCTCACAGAGGGCGCATCATCTGGTCAAGTGAGCCACGACAACCGCCGTTCAGATCAAAACTAACCAGAGACAGTCCTTGTCGTGGCTTACTGGGCATTGGGTCGGTGCTTGTTCTGAGGACATCAAGCAACAGATATTTTACCCCCTCTTAGCGTTCGTAATCGGATCGGCGATTCCACAGATTCAGACCATCAACGGACTGGTCGGAGCGATCGGCATCATGCAGTTCACGTACACGTTCCCGCCGCTCCTCCGGCTCGGATACGACGTCCTGAGCGATGCCATGGCCGGCGACAAGCCGTACGATCCCGACTCTGGCGCCAGCTATCACCGCGTGGACACGTGGAGACAGTGGTCTCGGTGGAGGCGCGGTCTGTTCTCCGGGCACTGGTACTTCAAGCTCTTCAATTTCATCCTGTTCTCGGCGAGTCTGTCTATGGCAGGTCTCGGTGGGTGACTTTGCATTTACGAAGAATACGTCTGCTGATTATGTTGACTATTACCCTTTACAGGCATGTGGGCTGCGGGCGAGTCGGTGAAAACGACCTTTGCGCTGTCGGGAGCGGCCACTTCATTCGGGTGCAAGTCTCCGGTGTAGATATCTTCAGAATACGACCCAAGAACGATAGCTCTCATACATATGCAATACCATTCTTCACCCCAGTCGCGACAAAATTAGATAGCAGTCCGAGCCGCGCGCAAGCTGTCAAAGTCCCGTGATCGTTCCCGCGTCTTACCTTCCCCTCGCCATGGCTGATCCTCTGCTGGATTCCAGCTCGGCACTGATATCGAAGAAGAAAAAGAGACGCGACAAACACGGTTCAAAAGACGAGGGACCGGATGCGCTTGAAAAGCAAACGAAGCGTAAACGAGAAACGGTGGATGTAGACGAAACGGACGCTGCTCTTGCAGCCGACAGAAAGCAGAAAAAGAAGAAAAAGCACGGCGAGCGATCCGATGCGGTAGATGTTGAACGGCTGGAACCATTCTCTGCCACTTTCCCAATCACAGAGCAAGAGGATAAGGAGAAGAGGAAGAAGGAGAAGAAGAGGAAAAGAGACACAGACGATTCGGCGGCTGTATCGCATTCAGACGTTGTCGTTGCAGAGGAGCATGTCGAGAAGAAGAAGAAGAAGAAGAAGAGTAAGGATAAGAAATGCGACACGGACGATCCGGGGGTTGTATCAATCTCGGACGCTGTCGCACAGGAGAATAACAGAAATGAGGGAGCAATCGGCTCCAGCGCCCCTCAGGTTTCTGCAGAGGTGGTTGAAAACGAGTCTGTCGAGGAGAAGAGGAAGAAGAAGAGGAAACGCGACGCAGAACAAGCGTCTTTGGAAGGAAACACTCTCGTGGGTCCCGATGGAGCAGCCGAGGAACCTGCTCTGAAGAAAAAGAAGAAATCGAAGGGCAGAGAGACTGAACGGGAGCAGAAAAAGGCAGGCGCAGCTGTTCGTTATGCTGATTAGAGGAGCCCTACTAACCTCTCCGTCCCGTAGGCCTCACCGCTACCTCAGAACAGTGTCTCTGCCGTGTTCAATGCGGACTTCGATTCTAACGACGACATATTGCGCGTAATCCAGGGCCTCGACATGACTACCTTCGAGGGCGGCACACCTGAACCCGTTCCGGTAGCTTCCAGCAGTCGGTCACGGAAAGCTTCATCATCGTCAAAGCCGAAGCGCGCGAAAGCGGCTGCGTCACAACTGAACCTCAATCACGCAGAGTTATTGGCGACAAAATGGATGACGCCGAAACAGCTGGATGATCTGGCTAAAACGGAGGGTATGCTCATCTCCAGCATGTCATCTTCCGTACTCAGGACGTATTTCCTAGGTCTCGTCTTCAAGAAGGGCAAATTCGCGGCGACAGAGATCAAGCTGCTCAACGATGCGATTGAGAACTACCGAAAGGTCGGGCCACCGTGTATGGCGGTCTGCGCAGCTCATTGACAGCGGCTCAGACGCGAAGCCTAGCGGAATCGGATATCGTGAATCTCGTATTTCCATCGGACGACACGCAGAAAGACCCAACATTCTGGACGGAAATCAGTGCGTCTCCCGGCCTCCTTTGAGTTTCTACATGTGACCTGGAATAAGCATCCGCTCTCGACCAACGGCCAATCCGCGCTGTGTGGAACTATCTGCGACGAGCCTGCAACGACGCCGGCCGACAGGGCAAGTGGAAAGCGGACGAGGACGCCAGACTTATACAGTGCGAGACCAGCCTGCTGAGCGACTGTTTCCATGCTGAAACTTTGCAGAGCCGTGACGTCGCTGGGACAGCAGTGGGAAAAAGTTTCCGAACTGGTCGGTCGCATGGCTGGCGACTGCAAGGACCGATACAGAAATCACATTGTCGATCTGGACAAGCGCGAATATGGCGAGTGATCAGGGACCGCTTCGGCATCTTATTGAGGCTTTGCTAGGCACATGGAGCGCCGAAGACGAAGCAGAGCTCACGAAGATCGTACGAGAGATGCATCAGGGCCAGGATCTGGACAACGACATTCTCTGGACGCGGGTTGCAGAAAGAATGGGCGGCAAACGGAGTCGGACGCAGTGCCGAGCGAAATGGATGGATTCGCTCAACAGGAAGAATAAAGGCAACCACGACACTCGCTGGAGCCGATTGGACACATATATTCTTGTCCACAAGTCGGTCATCCAATTAGCAGCTGCCTTGCCATGTTCTGATCGGCCCGCAGAGTTGCCAACCTGCAGGTGGAAGATGACACCGAAGTCGATTGGAAGACGCTCCCCGATCCGACGTGGAATTTCTGGAGCGCACATCTTCTGCAGAGGCGATGGAAGGGACTGAAAGAAGGCATCAAGGGAGGCGATCGCTTGTCACACACAGGTCACAACCATTTCACTGTTGGCTGGATGGTGAGATGATCTATTCCGCAGAGATCGTCGACTTGCTCGTCAAGAAATACCCCCAAAAACCGCAAGTAAATGCTGCAAAGAGCGCAGACTGCGTGGTCGATAGTGATAATGATGAAAGCTAGAACTCAGTCTAGAACTGCGTAGAAGACTGAAGTGCAGACTGCTTACTATGCAGGGCGTAAGCACACATCACGTAAGCAGATCACAAACAAAACCGGTGCCTTCCAGTACGGTACGTGCCGCATTACTTATTGAGACACGTATGTACTACGGCTGCGTTGCAACTTACCAAGAGCCTCCATTTTCTGGACACAGTCGGACTGTAAATGACGCACCTCCTCGATACGGCTTACGCATCCCTCGCGACGGACTGCCTTGATTGGATTGTTGCGCGGCATGACACCAAAAAGAGAAGATGAAGCGAGCACGTTGATCTATTCACTCGGTGGGACAAATCGTCCAGATCGGAATGCACGGTATATAAGATAGCTGCCTCCCGAGGGGGCTCAAAACAATTACTCCCCCTCCCAACAATCTCTCCGCAATGTCTGCTCTCTTCACCCCGCTCAAGCTCGGCAGCATCGAGATCGCCAATCGCATCGGGATGAGCGCCCTTACGCGTGACCGTGCCACCGGGACCGTCCCCAACGATCTTATGCTCGAGTACTACGTCCAGCGCGCCAAAGGCGGTGCCGGGCTTATTGTGACGGAGGGCGTGCTCATTACCCCCCAAGGGTATGTGCTATAGATCCTTCGCAATCGACTACACACGTGCCGACGCGCGCCTTGCAGCACTGAATGGCCCGAGGCCCCTGGCATCTACAACGACGAGCAGGTCGTCGCGTGGAAGAAGATCACCGACGCCGTGCACGCAGTTGGGACCAAGATCTACGCCCAGATCTGGCACCGTGCGTCGATCGCACCGCTCCACATCCTGCAGACTCATCGTATGTTTTAGTGGGACGTGTCAGCCACCCCGACGCCCCTCTCCAGAAGGCCGCCGGTGTTGTAAGTGGCATGTGAATCTCAATGATTTAACGCCGCTGACGGGATTATTCTTAGCCTGTGTACGCTCCGTCCGCTATCTCTGCCCGAGGAGGCAAGTTCCGCCACCTGCCTGGAGAGCCTGGCTATGTCACCGTCCGTTGGCTTCAAGTTCATCGTGCGCACAGATGTTGACCCCTCGCACAGCCCACGGAAATTCCCGATCCCGCTACTCTCACTGCGCTGTACAAGGCCGCAGCCGTGAACGCCAAGAAGGCTGGGTTCGACGGCGTCGAGCTGCACGGCGCAAACGGTTACCTCGTGCACCAGTTCATCGACCCGAGCGCCAACCAGCGAACCGACAAATACGGCGGGAGCATCGAGAACCGCTGCCGGTTCGCCATCGAGACTCTCAAGGAGCTCATCGAGGTGTACGGCCCCGACGTTGCCATCAAGCTGAGCCCTGCCGGAGGATACAACGACATGGGATTCGATCTGCAGGAGACGATCGCCACCTACAAGTACCTGCTCACCGAGATCGACACGCTGGGGCTCTCCTACATTGCGCTGATGCGGTACAGCCCGATGCTTGACATTGAGATTGATGGTGCGCACGCTCATTTCCTTAATGGATACGATGGGCCGGATGCTGACGGCGGCGACCAGGCAAGAAGCGCGCGACTGTGCACGACACCCCGGCCATCTACCTTCCCTTCATCTCGAAGACCAAAGTCTTCCTCAACGCCGGAATCACCCCCGCCGAAGCCGAGGAGTACGTCTCGAGCGGTAAAGTCGCCGGTGTCTTCTTTGGGTTCGCCTGGGTCACCCACCCGGATGTGGGCAACCGCATTCGCAAGGGCATCGCTCTCGACAATGCCCCCGACTTTGCCACGCTGTACGGTAGCTCCCTTCCCGACAAGGTGAAGGGCTACACCGACTACCCGGCCGCTGCTTAGATGTGCTCATTACATGTACCTGAATGCAAGTTATACGTGTGTAGAATATCAAACAATCAAAGACTTTGGATTTATGCTCGCGACATTTCACTGGGACGTTCTGCCCTCCATCTCTGCCGGCAGGGATTGTGGGTCATATCCGGGACAAAGCACGTCACTTGATCTCAACATGACTTCGCGTTTGACGACATCATCCGTTCTTCCCCTAATTACCTCGCGCGCAACCTGCCTCCGCCGTGCGCATTCGCAGAGCCGGTTCACTCTACCACCGACCATCCGTCAAATCCTCTCCTCGTCGCGCGTAGATGAGCCGGTGACCGTCAACGCCTGGGTCAAGTCGATCAGAAAACAAAAACGCATCGCGTTCGGGGTCCTGAGCGACGGGAGCTCCGCCACCGGGCTGCAGGCCGTGTTCCCGAACGAGCAGCTGGGGGAACGCGTCAAGGAGTATGTAGTCCGTCGTGCTGTGCGGGCACTCGTTCAACGCCCGACAGGATCACCAATGGAACCGCGGTGCGCGTGCGCGGGACGATAGTCGAGAGCCCCGGTGCAGGGCAGGACAGGGAGCTGCGGGTCGAGGATGTGGAGATCCTGGGGGCGTGTGATGCCGAGGTGCGTTCTGACCGACGCGCGCTACTGCTGTTACTTGCCTGACTCACGCAACCACGGGAAGACATATCCTATACAGAAGAAGTTTCTGTCTCCCGAATATCTACGCGATAACACGCATTTTCGAGCGCGGACGGATGGTATCGCGGCTATGCTCAGACTACGGGGCGCGTTACAGCGCGGTATCGCGGCTTACTTCGAGGTATGGGATAGCCGCCCTGGGCGTCAGCCCTCGGACTGACATCCACTACACAGAGTCAAGACTTCACAAGCACGCATACGCCCATCTTGACCACGGGCGACGCCGAAGGCGGCGGCGAGGCCTTCCGCCTGGCACCTCTCGAAGCCGAGGCCACGCCCGCCGACAAAACACTGACCGAGGCCGACCGCGAGTTCTTTTCGCGGCCGGCGTACCTCACGGTCTCACACCAATTGCACCTGGAGGCGCTGTGCCACAGTATGTCGCGCGTGTACAACCTGGGCCCCTGCTTCCGCGCGGAAAGCGGCGTGACGCGCCGGCACCTGGCCGAGTTCTGGATGCTGGAGGCGGAGTGGAACGTGCTCCCGGTGGCGGATCCCCGAGACCAGACCGGCGCGCTGTGTGATTTCGTGGAGGGCTTGGTGAAGGGCGTGGTTGGCGACGGGGGCATTGTGCACTCTGAAGACGTGGACTTGCTATGGAGGCATCATGAGCGGGATGCAGCTGAACACGCCCAGCAACGGGCAGCGTTGGTTCAGTGCGTGACGACGGAGAAACCCTGGACACGGATGACCTACACCGATGCGATTCGGGAGCTGCTCAAGGCGGATCGGCAGTGGACGTTCCCCGTCCAGTGGGGCCTCTCGCTGCAGAGTGAGCACGAGAAATGGCTGTGCGAGACGCTCGTGGGCGGGCCTCTGTTCGTGACGGATTACCCGGCGGACATCAAAGCGTTCTATATGAAAGCTAATCCTGCTCAGGCGGGCGAGCAAGGGCCGACGGTTGGGTGCTTTGACCTGTTGATGCCGCACGTGGGTGAGTTGGCGGGTGGCAGTGTTCGCGAGGACCACATCGAGCGCCTGCGGGCCAGCATGGCCAGCAAGGGCATGAGTTTGGACGGCGAACGATACGGGTGGTACGGACAGCTCAGACAGTACGGCGGGTCTCCCCACGTGGGCTTCGGGATGGGATTCGAGCGACTGGTTAGCTGGATCAGCGGCGTCGAAAATGTGCGGGAATGCATTCCGATGCCTCGCTGGTCAGGAAGGATGATTTTATAATAGCAGATAAATGACAGCAGACATGAAAACTACAAAGATACACAGCTAGACTAGATCGAAAAACTTCTAAACGCTGCTCATTTCCACGGGCAGTTGGCTGTAACCATACTCATCCCTGCGGTTGGGGCGGCCCAGCGAGCGGACGCTGCTCCAGACGTCGCCCACGGCAGTGCGGACAGTGGCGAAGATGTTCGAGGAGAACTCGGCGTCGGACCCAGGCATGATGCTGTCCGCAGGGCGTTTCCACCATTTCAAGGTCAGGGAACTCGTGACGACGCTGACACTGGAGAACGCCATCGCCGCGCCAGCCAACATCGGATGCATGTACAGCCCCAGCGGGAGGAAGAAGCCCATGGCAAGCGGGATGCCGAGCAGGTTGTAGATGCACGCCCAGACGAGATTGCGCTTGATGACAGAGAAGATGCTCCGGGAAAGATGCAGGGCAGCGACAACGTCGAGCAGGTCTCCGCGCATGAGGACGATGTCGGCAGCCTCGATGGCAACGGACGTGCCGGATGCGAGGGCGATGCCGACGGTGGCAGCGACGAGCGCAGGCGAGTCGTTGATGCCGTCTCCGACCATGGCGACTCCCTGCTGGTGCTTCTCCATCAGCTCGGTCACCATCGACGCTTTGCCCTTGGGGCTCATGCCAGCCCAGACACCGTCCGCGGGAATGCCGACCTGCTTCGCGATCGCCAGGGCCGTGGTCTTGCTGTCGCCGGTCATCATGTTCACCTCGATGCCCATGCGCTGCAGTGCTCGAATCGCATACTTGCTCGACGGCTTCGGTGCATCGGAAAGCGATACGGCCAGGATCGGCAGGGGCTGGGACGACGTGGCCTTGAGCAACGACGCGTAGATGACCGTGCGCCCGAGGGTCGTTTCCTGGGCTTCGTAAGCAGACAGCGTCGACGGGACGTATCCATCCTCAGACTGGGTGATGAACCTCGCAGTGCCAACGAACAGGGTGTACTTGGACCCCGCGTAGGTGATGATCGCGCGCAGACCGGACCCAGTCACGCTCTCGAAACTCTCCATGCTCGTCTTATCCTCCGTGTCCCGCAGAAGCTCCTTGCCATAAGCAGCGATCGCAGTGGCCAGCGGATGCTCCGACTTGGCTTCAGCAGCAGTCACCATCGACAGCGCCGCAAGCCGCGTCGTCACGTTGTCGGCGCACAGAGCATCAAGTCCGGTGTCGTTTCCGAATGGCTCCTCAGAAGACGAATGCGCAGGAACCCAGTGCAATCCAACAACGCTCATCTTCCCGACGGTGACAGTCCCGGTTTTGTCAACCACGACACGGCGGATGCTCCTGCTGGCTTCAAGCGCTCTGCCACCTTTGATGAGGATGCCGTTCTTGGCACCCATGCCAGTGCCGACCATGATGGCTGTCGGCGTGCTGAGCCCGAGCGCACAGGGACACGCGACAACCACAACGCTGATGCACATCTGCACACAGACAGCCAGCTTGCTCGTGCCGTGCTTGAGGAACATCGACGGCAGATCCTCGTCGCTGACAAACGTCGAGATGAGCAGCCACGCAATCAGAGTCACCACCGCGAGCGAGATCACACCAGGCACGAAATATCCGGCGACCTTGTCCGCGAACGCTTGGATCGGCGCCTTTGACGTCTGCGCATCCTCCACGAGCTTGACAATCTGCGAGAGCGCTGTGTCCTTGCCGGCTCGCGTGACTATCATATCGAACGTCCCCAACCCGTTCACAGTTCCGCCGATAACACTGTCTCCCGCCTGCTTCAACACTGGAATCGGCTCCCCGGTGATCGCACTTTCGTCCACGCTCGAAGAACCTTTGATGACCGTGCCGTCAGCGGGAACTTTGTCGCCCGGAACCAATTTCACGGTGTCCCCAACCTCAACAAGCTCAGTGGCGATCTTCTTCTCCTGGGTGCATGCTGGCGCATCCGTGTAGATAGTGGCCATAGACGGCGTCAGAGCCATCAGGTCGGTCAGCGCGGCGCTCGTCTTGCCCTTGGCCTTGTTCTCCAGGTAGCGACCGAGGGAGATGAAGGTGAGCAGCATCGTGCTGGTGTCGAAGAACAGAGCAGGCCGGTAGCCGGGCGTTGTGTTGAACATGGCCAGGAACATGAATATAAATGAATAGGCGTATGCAGCGGTCGTCCCCAGCATCACCAGTACATCCATCGTAGCTGCTCTGTGCTTGATCGCCTTCCAGGCGCTCTTGTAAAAGCTAGCCCCGATCCAAAATTGCGCCGGAGTCGTCAGGCAGAACACCAGCACATCTCCGAGATAGATACCATTCACAAGCTCTGAGTGTAGCAGAGTGCGGATCCCGGGGATGTGCGGCCCCACCATAGAAATGAAAAACACGGGGATAGCAAAGCACAGACTCCATAGCACGCGCGATCGCCACACAAGAATTTCCTTGGTTCTCGTCAAAGAGGCGATCTGCGTCGAGTCACCCTGGTCTGCGAGCATGGCGTCGAAACCCATATCCTCTATTCTCTCGACCATTTCACGGGGGCCGATAAGCGCTCGGTCGAATTCGATCGTGCACGTCTCCGTTGCAAGGGACACGGCAACGCTCTGGATACCGGGCACCGATGCTAATCCTGCTTCGACAGTTGATGTGCACGACCCGCAGGTCATACCGAAAACCCGCAGATTCACTTTGTCAGACCGGGAGGTCGGGATGAGTGTCGCGTCAAAGCCAATGTCGGAAATTTCCTACGCAAACGGTCAGCCATGCGGCACACGACATGAGCTCAAGGAGCAAGACGCACATTGACGATTTTCTCCACGGTCCACAGCTTGGGATCGTATTCCACCACTCCCCGCTCGGCTAGAAGTGCGACCTTGATGGACACGATACCGGGCTGCTCGCGGAGCATGCCCTCGATAGACTAGCGCACACTCCGTTGATTGCCCGCACGACAAAAGGACGCACAAAGGACTCACCTCTACACATGCCCCGCACGTCATCCCCTCAATGCGCAGATCGCACTTCTCCACACCCATAGAGGGCCCGTCCATTTCCTTGCCCATGAGCGAAGCAGATTCGGCTGAGTCCGGAGGTAGTTCGATACCCCTGCTTTTGAAGGTCGAGCTGAGAGGCGTGTTGGTCCAAAGTTCGTTCAGGAACTTGGCCATGTCCGGAGTTTATATGTATATATATATATCTGAGGTTGTGAAGAGTAGGTAAAGGTGGGAGAGCCGAGAGCGCGCGATGGAGGTTCTTACTTGATGATGATGAATAAGGCCGACTGACGGAAAGCTGATTAAGATGATGGAGAAGCGGACAGATGCAGGTGATAGCGCCGGCGCAGTCGTTCAGAAGAGAAGTTCAAGGGGGGAAAAGAAAGTCGAAGAGTGGGATTAGGAGAGAGGGTAGGACCCTGTGGGTTTTAAATGTGGTAGTCGCAAGCAACCTTCTTTCCCGCTAAGCAACCCATCACTTGATTAGAAAGGTCGCATCCTGATACACAGCCACGAGAATCAGGTCACTTGCCAAGTACGCTTGCTGGGGTCATCCAGGCTTTCATCGAGTGATGTATGTACATTAGACCTGCTGTAATCAATGTACAGAAATGTTCTAAACCACCAGGTATCCATCGGTTATGACAATCGAGTCGACGGAGAATGGAGGCTCAGAGTCATCTTCGAACGACTTGATACTGGCGATCGCTACACCGGCTAGACTCCCCTGCGACGGAAATCAGACCGTGACAGCAGGTAGTTAGAATATCACCCACTTTTCCGACGAAGCCCACCCGCACGGGGAAAAACGCTTCTGGGTCGTCCCCAGCGACAGTAAACATCAGCGACCCGGATTGAGCATCGGCCGAAACAACAGGTGTCGACCACAACAGAGAATGGGATCCAGGATCCAACGACCATTCACCAGAGTGCGAAGATACGGTCGGATACGAGCCCGCCCTGTTTCACGTCATGTCCGCCCGTAGTCAGCAGAATCACAAGACACTCACGGGAGCGGGATGTAAATGTCCAGATCATAGAGAGTCACGTTCTCGTTTTCCAGCTCATACTCAATGCTGATTTCGCACGTGCCATCGTTAGACGTTGTCGGCCAACAGTTAACTGGCAAGATCATCAGTCCCTCTAGCCGGAGACATCGTTTAAAGCTTACTGGATATCGGCACTGCTCCTTCGTCGCTCGTTTTGGCACGCCACTTAACGACCGGTAGGTTCTGACCAGTAGGGAAAGGGCGGCTAGTGTCCTTCATCTTGATCTCCTTTGGCTTGGAAACGCCGGCTTTCAAGTCGAACTTGGCCGTGGACGGGTGCTGCTTGTACTGCAGACCAGCACCAAGAATATTGGATTCGTCAATAGGCACGAGTGCGATCAGGAGACGAGTGTTGGATTCATCGCTGATGAACAAATTCATGTCGCCCTTGAGCTCGATGTCTTTCTCCAAACCGCCGTCACGCAAAAGCGAGCATGTAATCTCCTCCGTGATGCTGACATGAACACTGAGGGAGAGTGTCAGTGATGACCAACGGGCAGGCTAACAAAAAGTGCGATACCCGGCATGTTCCACTTCCGGAAGACTGCCTCTCTTGCTTGTCGGAGCCGCGGCGGGAATAGGAGCAGCAGCACCAACAGAAGGAGTGGGTGGTTCTGAAACCAGACCAACCGACGCGACATAGTCTCCACCCAAAGCATCGATCAGCTCGGCCTGCTTTGTTTTCTTGGAACCCAGCTTCATGCCCGAGCTCTTGAACGCAGGCGCTCGAGGAGCCGGAGCACTCGGAGTGACAGAAACAGCAGGGGTCGGAGAAGTGTACTGGGTAGGCACAGAGGAGTATCCGGTAATACCTCCCCCATAAGGGGAGGAATTGCCAAACCCACCAGAGTTGGCGGCCCGGCGCTGCTGTTGACGTTGAAGCTCGAGCTGTTTAGCGCGTCGCTTGAGCTCTTCCTTTGCCTCCATCTCTTTGTTCTGTGAAACGACAAATCATTTAGACATGTCCTAACATTGGAGACGGAAGTCCAACGCACCCGAGCGATGATCTCCTGGATCTTTTCCTCGTGACTCTCCATTTCCAAAGCGTTGCGGACCTGGACGAGCCCAACAGAGTTCTCTCGATAACCCAGCCCAACCACCTCATCAAATGCGCCCAGGATCTCGAAGGCGCGGGTGCCAACTTCGCTTTCGGTCGCGTTCCGACACATGTCTGACACGACGCGAGCCAGGAGGTGCAGGGTATCTATGTCTTGCAGGATGTTGGAGGCCTTGTTGGTTATAAGGAGTATATAGAGATCTTCCAATGGCTGATAGACGTAGCGGACGTCTGGTGTCTCTATGAGAGTGTGTTGTGTGCTCGACGGGGGCGGGAGAAGTTTCGGGAACGAGGCCAGGAGCGATTCAATGCGAGTGCGGGACATGTCCAGGAACTGGCGCGACAAAACCGCTGGGACGGCAGTCAGAAAATGGTGGTAGATGAACGCTACGCTCCTACCTTTGCCCCCTTTGGTGCATATCGAGGCAGCGAGAACGACCTTGATGGGCGCCGTTAGTTCTAGCTGAGATGAATCGATGCATACGGACGGACCATCCTTGGAACTCGGCACACAAGTTTTCTGAAGAGAGCTCTGGTGTTCGCGTGTCCACTGTCCGTGACAGTCAAGTCACACGTGACTCTAGGGGTTCACGAGATTCCAAGGGAGTTCAACCCATGTACGGTCTCATTGGTGGGGTAATGTAAGGTATGTACTGGTATAAGATCATGCATTATGGTCATGGATGTTCGTGAGACAGTTTGAAAGACGACGTTTACTCAAAGGGCATATCACCGACCGCCTCGGCTAGCGATGTCCAGGTGTGCAGGACGTTCTCGGTGTATGCTTGTTCTTCCCGCGAGAGGGATTGGGCAACTTGACTAACCAGAGTGTTTTCTCGGTTGTGCAATATGACACGCAGCTCGTGCCACAGACTTGTGTTGTGTTCAATAGACCGTACAAACAGGCGATGAAAAGCTCACCATGCCCGAATAAAGACTCTGCGGCTCAGTTGGGCAGCGATCGTGGCCTGATCTTTCTCGATTGCCGCGACGTACTTGTCGGCTTCCTCTTGCCAGCCGTCCTTCTGAGCAGCTTTCACAGCTTCCAATTTCGACGAAGCAGTGTCGACACGTTGCTTCAATCGTTCTACCTGGTCGATCGACAACCGGTCATTACGGATGAGCAGATCCTTGAGAGCCATGAATAGATCGCGTTGACTCTATGACTACGATGAGCCAAACCATACGAGAACGAAAATGATGCCAACCTTGATGCTCTCGAGCGTGGTATCGAGTAAAGTACGGGTCTACAGCATACACTCAGCAGCAACACGGTACCATCGAATTTAGGAAGACTCACGCGAAGCTCAGACAACTCAGAATAGCGTTGAGTGTGCGCAGCAATCTGTTGCAGGCCCAAGCGCACTCCAGCAGACAATTCGCAGTCGTCTCCTCGCCAACACTGTTCGTTGATTTCCGCAACCACTCGCAGAGTGTTGGTCAATCTGGCCATGTCTCCCTGTTCCGTGCCCACGTTCGAATGGATTCCGAAAAGAGTGTCCACATGAGAAATCGCGAAAAGAGAATTGAATGAAGGCACCGAAGATCCGGAGGATGTTGATAGGGCCGAAGACAAAGATGGAGTGGAGGAAAACATGGGCAAATTCAAATGAGCTTGCAGGGAACCCGGTCGGAAGGGAGGGGCTACTCGTACCGCTGCCGCTTCACGCCGTTTGATGATCCGCTCAGCCAAGATAGAAATCCTTTGCCATTGCTCAATGAGTGGGCCAATCCGTCGTCGAAGGATGCTGTGAAGCTGATCAATAATGAGCGTCGAACGAGAACTTATTGGCTGCTCACCCCAGTTTCTCCTCCAAATCACTAGGGATAGACATTTCCTCAGCTCGGTCAACACGTTTGCTGGCTGATTCCTCGTCTAGGGAGATTGGGGTACTCTTCCGCCATTGTTCGAAAGAAGGCTCCGTCAGGAAGGCTCCCAATAATGCGTCCTCCTGCGGCGAGCATCAGAAATTGCTTACGCGTACTGGATGTGATTAGGGAAAAGACCTTGATGACAGGATGGTTTCTGGCTCAAATCAATGAGCGACGAAGACTCCGAAAATGAGAACGTACGCACATGACAAAGTTGAGAGAACGAGTCAGTCCTCGCCTGCAGAAAAGGGATTAGTCGCTTTAAATCAGGATAGCAGAAAGTTTACCTTCGTTGCTCCAGGAATGCCTCGTCACCTAGAAGCCCTCAGATCCCCAAATTGAGCAGAAGCATAATAAACTCACCGCCTATGCGCTTAGGCGGTAGAGCGGGGAAGAGACGAAAGGGATACCGCCGTAATAAGCATTCCCAAACAAAAACGAATTCGGAGTATCTTCTCGTTACTGGGGATCCGCGCTGTAGAGACAAAATTGGCAAGCGTTAGGGTGCAGTTGTGAGAGAGCCACACCGAGGATGATATCTCATAGACCATGAATCGATTCAATATGAATCCCTGGGCGCCCAGCAGCGTTACATTGACCATGTCCTGTTTCGACCACCAGCTGGAGGGAAGACCTGTTCCGATAGTCGACGATGTTCCGTGGCTCTGGGATGGTTCCAATCCGTTATTTGTTACCATCCCTGGTACGCGAGAGTTGGTATTCCAGGGGTCGTCTGCCGCATACATGGGGGCGGGTGCTCGAATTCCTGCGGGCAAACTGTTCTGTCTTTGGTTGATGGGTGCAGCGAAGGTGGAGTTGGATGGTGGAAGCTTCGTCAAATCCAGCATAGGCTCGGGCAGAGTGCTTTGTGACGACAACGATGCGACCTGTTCAATGCTGACGTCTGGATGCACGGATGAAAGGTGGATATAACAAGCGACTAAGCAAGGAGAACTCACCTTTTCCAGCCTGAGCGAGGGCAACCAGAGCAATTGCGACGAAAAACTCGAGCTTGGAGACGCGCGGCTTGTTGCTCACAAGATTGACGATCTGATAGAATAACAGTCCGTGAGTAGGGGCGAGAGGATTCTGATGATACCGACTTTGTCTATCGTGGATGCAGGAAGGGACGATGTACCCAGCACGCGGGATAAAGAGTTGACAGATGTTTCGCCGGTGTTACTCGGATCGACGAGCAGAAAAGCCTGGTCGTAGATGGCAGGAACAGTAGCGTCCGCTTTACACCACAGCTCAGAGTACAAAAAGCAGCGACCGTTCGTACGACGTACCGAGGACTGAACTGAAGATCGAATTCCCGCTGGAAGGTGCAGGTGTCGCTGAAGGACTCGGAGCCGCACTCCACGGATCCAAAGTATCGTATGTCGACGCAGCAAGAGGATTCTCGTCAACAAAGCTGCCAAAGCCGCCGCCACCACCGTTGTTGTAACGAGGCTGCGTCCGCGGCGCGTTGAACATGGTCAATGCAACTCGCGAGTGGCAGTCGCAGTGTCAGGCCTCCAGAGCCTAGTGCCAGTGGCTGAGCATTCTTGATCGCTCGACAAGTGGGCATCAGTTCGACTCGGACCGGAAACAATTTCTTGGCTGGCTGAATTGGCTTGTGAAGATTATGAACAGTCTTCAGAGTACTCCTCGGTCAAACTCCTGGGATCTCAAATATTCTCATGGAAATCCGAGTCGGAGCTGAATTAATTATAAAGGTTTTTTACATCTGAATCACGACTCGAAATCGGGGGTTTCTTGCGTCCACCAGCCGGCTCTGTGCCGGCTTTGGCGCGATACCCTTCGGAGACCCGGCTACGAAACTTCGGCGAAGTGATCGCATCTGGGGGCCAAGCGCGGTTGCCGGTTAGTGGCGCGAGCTTGTACGTACGACTGCGGTTTTCTATTCGGCTAGACGCGACTCCAGGGAAACTTGATTCTGATCCAATTCACAGTCCGACACATCGCGTCCGGGGCATATCAGAGTCCAGACAGTGAGAACACGGGTTCATTTACATCTGGCGTGCATAGAACATCACATCGACAGAACCTTGAACGGATCTGATCCACCGCCCTCCAGCGCAGCCAAGACAGCTTGCCTGACCGCACTCAAGTAATCCCCGATTCGTTTCCCGTCCTCGTTGGAAAAGTCTTCATACAATTTATACCGTGAATCTGCCACAATATTGGACAGCTCCAAGGCACGTTTGAGGTTGCTGTGAAAATTTGAGATGGCTTCGAGAGAACTTGGATGGTCACGAACGCAGGGAACTCAGCACGAGAGGCCAATAGCATAAAGTGCAGCCGGATGATCAGTTCGGGAACGTAGATTTGCCGAATCCGTATCAGGTCTCGGCGACGACGGTCACCTGTAAGAACGTCGGAATGGGTTAGTATGACGAGCACCACCACACTCACCTCCGCCTTCTTCAACATCACTGACAAGCCACTCGGATGTCAAGAGCTTCACGATCTGGTCGTGCGCTTGGTCCACAAGTGTCTGTCCACGAGATCAGTGCGAGATGGGCTCCATCACGAAGACGTTTCACCTTGTAGTCCTTCATCCAAGCAGACCGTGTATTTCGATTCATCTGCGGTGTCTCCAGGACCTGACACTCCACCACTCGGTCAAGAGTATCGTAGATGAGGAAGAACTGCCGATAGTGCAAGTATTCAGTGGCTCTTTCTTCCGGCTCGCTGATGGACGCCAGCTCCAAAGGAAGGACAGAGAGCAGCCTCTGTGCGATATGGGCACGACCTGAGCCCAAGAAATATCGCAGAATAACGTTCGCCTGCTCTAGGGCAGTTTCGAATGTCGCGTCCGAGAATATGGTCCACTCAATGGATCGTAACAGGAAGAGCTCTTCCTCTGAAGGATCCGTTTTCATGGCTGTCGGTGAAGGCAGTTTACCCTTCAGCGGCGGAAGAAGCTGCGACAATGAGCCGGAGTCGCCCAAGACATGTCGGACATTACCTCGAATGCTTTCTCGATTGTCCTTTCCGCAGTCACCGTAGCGACTCGATTGGTGTCGAGACCATGCTCGCGCGCTCGTGTCAATGCTAAGCGTCGCTCATCGATATCCGCCGATAGTTCCAGCGAGACCAAGAACAGAGCATAACGCTCCACAGCGTTGTCTCCCAGGGCACCGGCGTACATCGCTATCAACTCTCTTTGCCCTGCAGCCTATTCACGAACACATGTGAGAACAATGGCACGTCACTGGTGATCATCGCACCTCAAGCACTTGCAAGTACGATTCGAGGATAACTTGAGTGGCAAGTGGAGGAACCGGAATGTCAATCATCTGCAAGAAGAGACACAGATGCGCAAAGAACCGGCTCAAAGTCGTGTATTCAAATGAATCGCGCGGGTATGTGCCATCTTGCACTCCATTCGCAAAGTTGTCAAGGAGTGTGCCAATCTCGTCCGTGATTATCTGCACCTGTGTGAAGTGAAATGGATGTTCTGCCCCTGGACTGTGAAGATTGGGGGATCAGCCGGCTATGACCAGACAAGGATCCGCGGGCGCACGCACCCCTCCTCAACAGCCACAGATTTCAGAGCCACGAGCGACCCAAGGACCTCTTTCTCCCATTCCTCGGCCTCCAGCTCTTCAGCTTCTGGTGTCAACACGCGGACGCCTTGATTTACGGCCTCCAGTCCGCCCTCCCAGAAACTTCCCCCTGCACGCAAAATATCTGTGCTCTGCTTTTCCTCGCACACAACACTGATCTGAGCCCAGAGATGATCTTCCCATGTCCGACATGCCGTTTTCAGGACCACGGATGTCTGGGGTGTGGGGACAAGAGCTGCATACACGACTCGTTCGTGCTCCGAAATATTAGGCTTGTGAGAGGTGAATTTCAAAGAAGTATCACGGACTGTGCACACACACATTCATGGCAGCTTGGGTGCACGTCGTCTTCCACAGTCGACGTCTGCGATTCCCCTCCCAAGGATCCACAAGATCTTCCTCCATGGACTCATCCTCCAGTTGCTCATCAGCTACAAGGCGGTTACTTTAGTATTCTAGAGGGGTTCAGATGACTTACAAATGGCTGGCCATCGGAAAAGGAGAGACCCGCGAATGCTTGCAGCCCGCCAGGGTTGATGAGCCTTCCTACAGAGCTCCACCGCATCCTCTAGACGTCCTGCACGGATGTAGGAGTAAAGAGCTATCGACAGCCCCTTCTCGTAGTTCTACACAGCTTGTTGAGCACTCTGAATCAGAAGGAAAGAGCAACACACCGTGTCATCTGCAGCCAACATCCTCCCGTCGCCTCGATTCACAGCATCTGGGTCCATTTCCTTAATCAAACCGTCCCTCACCACACCGCCCATCCTCAGCCCCTGCATCACACCGTGCTTCGTAAACTTCCAATACCCCGTTGAGGCTTCAGGGTGCGTCGGCTCTGGTGCGGTGTCTTGCAGCCACTCTCGCACAGCGATCAGTTCGGAGAGAAGTGGGGACGCGTGCATGATGGCTTGAGCAAGGGTGGAGGTAGGTGTGTATGGATTTTCGCGGAGCAACTCGCGTGCCGTGGGTGTGGGTGGTGGTTCCGTTTTTCGTGCACTATCAGCATGGACCGTTTGTTCTCAGGTGTTCTCGAGAGCAGAGAGAAGTGTGTTACGCACGGCATAACAGCCTGGAGGAGGCCCCATGTATCACGCTCCAGACGAAGGAGGTCGAGTTCTTCTTGTGTAGTCTGCCCATCACCGTTTTCTTCGAGATCCACAAGTCTGCAGCAACGATGTGCTCAGAATCCAGAAATCCAACAATACGGAACGCACTGGTCATGACATATCTGCCTCAGCCGCGGGGCAAATCCGGTCTCTGGATCCAACAAGCTCTCCAGGTCCTCGTTCATAGACTGGCATACCGAGAGCACTTCGGCGCTAGCCACGTAGAGAGCTAGTTCAGACATGATTGGGGTGCGTCAGCCAGAGGTATGGTCGCGAGTGACGCGTCCGAAAGACGCGACGAGAGGGTCGAGCGTTGGTCGTCTTGAATGAGGGTTTCAAGCGTGCACAAACAATATCTGACAATTCAATAAAATTGCACTTTCAGTTGAAAGAGGTGCAGGACGCGCATCTACACAACGTATACAAAGCCGCGAAGAGTACTTACTCTTATGAGGAGAAGGGTCTCAGCTTACAAGAGAGTTGGTAGATAAAATATTTTGAATTCAATCAAGTACAGAAAAAACTAGATAGTCGAAGGAGCAGATGTCTGCGTCATGGTTTGACCCAACCGTCAATACCACATAGTAGCAAGAGTACGGAAGGTACAGGAATATGACGCCGCCCAGCTCGCACACCCGAAATCGACACCGAAGTGGACTAAGAGGGCACGAACCAGACTCGGTCTCGTGAGCATCCCGAGGGAACGCTTCGCTTCGCCAACAAGGCAGATAACGCCACCAGACGAGTGAACGTCTGTGTCTGTAAGGACGAACGCGCCAGAGGTTGGTCGAACACTTGAAGAAAAGTTAAGCGGACGACTGGCCTTATAAAGGCAGCGGAGTTTGAAATGCACGTGGCTCGAACACGATGTGACTTCCAGTCACACAGTTAGATTGAGAATAGGATTTGGATTTCCAACTGGGACGGCACAATGGATTGGGACTCTTCTCGGACATATGGCAACCTACTGGGTGGTCGTGGCTTAGGCTATGTCTGTCTCTTGAATCAGGAGAGAACGGGTGCCTGGCAGCATCCTGTCCAGACACCTTTGGCTCACGTGTTGCTGCTACTAGATTCTAAACATAAATACGATTCCCAACGCAAGCGAGAAAGATTATATACAAATGCAAGGTTTTGATTCGCAGGCCTCCTAATAATTATAGTACTACGTCGGAGGTCACCTTTGCTGCGAAGTGCAGAGTCCAGGTAGAAAGCAATCTCCGTGCATTGACTTGCTCGCCAGTCAATCTGTTCCCGGTCATCAGCGGACGCGTACAAGAAGACAAGCGCGACTGACCCCGGAGTACCATATGTCAAGGGAGCAAAGAACATAAACACGACGAGTAGCGCGACAGTGAATGCAAGATAGATGGCGGGTGCCTTGATACCAAGATCCGCGTATTGCTTGGGACGTGCCCGGGTCTTGGGGCCCCAGACGGATATCGGGTAGTTGACCGTCTCAGACAAGATGAAGCTGAGGACGGATCCAGTGATCATGGCAGATGCCAGGTGAGATGGCAGGTAGTGGTGGATGAACAGCTGGCGGCTCATCAAGAAGAAGGGCAAGTAATGGACCGCCCAGACAAGCATAAAGAAGCCAGTGGTATTCCAAAGCCGATTTCGCACAGCTGAGAGTAGATCGTCAATAAAAAGTTAGAAGCAATGGAGACCAGACGCACGATCAGGGATGGGATCCAGGCCACGACGACGAGCCAACAAGTCCGCACCCAGGATACCCACATATATCGACAACCCAACAACACACGACCACCAGCCCACTACATTGCCGATCAGGTAGATCTGCTTTTGGGGCTCACTCTCGGTCCAGAAGCTGATACCACTCAACAAGAACGGCCAGTTGATGGGGCTACTGGCATAGGGATGAGATGCCGTCAAACCAGCATTATGCTGTAACATCAGAAGCTGGAGCTCTCCAAACTTCTTGAAGAAGTTCATAGACTTGGGCTTCTGAATTTCAGATGTACCGATACGATCACTGTAATCCGGACCCTCTGAAAGCACTGGATTGGAACCTTGTCGGTGTGACGTGCGAACACGACTCACCAGCGGCCACGACTTCCTCGAAGTACCACGTCGCACTCTTCTCACTTGCTGCCTTGTTGCCGTTGATCTCCTGCTGTTTGAAGGCCCACTCTGGCAATTGCTTTGTGTGTGTCCACATGGCAACTTTGGTGGGAGCATGGATGAACTTGAACTGGCCGGATTTCGTCTTGACCACCTGGCCGTCGTGTCCATCAATGAGCTGGATATAAAAGAGCGTGTCGTTGTAACGGCTGTTGTCATCCTTGGGCCAAGTTGTGAACTCCTGATTTGTCGGCATCAAAGACGAGGCGACATCGTGACTGAGCAAGTTAGTTTGCGTGTTGACGTGTAACAGCTGGACGAGATCGCCGTGACGCAAGTACCGGCCCCGGCCTGTCTCCGGCAGAGCCTTAGTTGGAATGAGCTGCCAGAGGTTGTTGGTGTCGTTGTGCCCGTAACCCGTGACCTGTTGGCCTAGAAAGTTATTGTTAGAAGATGTCGTCAACCGCGCATGAGACCGAAATACCTTGGCTACTGATCCTGCCGTCATCATACTTCAGGGGATACTTCTCCACGTGTGAGTGCAAGTATACTTTGGTCTCTTTGTGCCGCAGGTTGACAGTGTCGAAATATTTGACCTCTGCACCCAACGATCAACGAAATCCAAGCCAGATAACGGAACACTCACCTTGGCTGTTCATCAACATCTCATTTCCATTCAGAGTCTCTTGGAATGCAGGGCTCATGAAGGTGTCTCCAGAACCGGATTTCGTGAGGACAGCGAAATGAATCCAGAAGAAAGACAGGTAGATGACGAAGGGGACGAGAATGAGACCGACGGCCCGGGCTGAGAAATGTCTCCAAAAATGTTCCTATCCATACAGTGAGTGATGATGTTACACCAAGCAAGTCGACTCTCACCATGGTGTGGCCCTCTTTTTTGTGATCCAAGATATCCCAGAGGTCGATCATGACAGCGAAACCGATGGTGAAGACCATCAGGATACCGTTGACTTTGGAGCCCCAAGCACAAGCCATGAAGACGCCAGTCAAAATGAGCCACGTCCACCATTCAGGTGTGAATGCCCAATAGCGGAGCTTTTTGAAGCGGATGTAGGAATACATGGTCAGGGAGATGAAGAAAATGAGGGTGGCGTCAAGAAGGATGAGTCTCGACTGGGCAATGTGGGCGTTGTCTGGAAAGAATAAATGAACAAATGTCTTCCCTCCAAGAGTGAAACAGAAGACGCACCAAAGAGAACAAGAGATGCAGAGAACGCTGCAATGACAGTCGAGTACCCACACTCCTTCATGGTAGCGTACACGACAGGGATGGTCAAACTGCCGAGGATAGCGGGAAGGGCCCGCATGCCAACGTAGGGGACGTGGGCTGCCGTGTAGCTGTCGCCGATGTTTTCGAACATGAACTTGCCGTCAAAACCAACGAACCAGCCCGCCAGTCCGAAGAGCATTTTAGCGAAGGGCGGATGGACATCGAAGTAGTATTCGCGAAGAATGTAGTATGCGGCAAACTTTCCAAAGTGCACTTCGTCGAAGCTAGGTGAAAAAGAATGAGAAGGTGGTACTTGAAGAAGTTAGAACCGATCCACGCACACCACCTGGTCAGGTTGGTTAATCTTGTAGAACCGAAGCGCAAAGGCGAGCGCAGTCAGGACACCAATGACAATCATGCTGGCCCGCTTGGTTTCCAATAGCCTCTCGATAGGATGGCGGTTATTCTGGTGTTTCGCTGTCAGCGCGCGCAAGAGCGCGTAGGATGTAAAGACTAACGGGGTTCTGATACACCTCCGCGACATGGTCTTCCTGGTGAAGTCCTTCGTATTCTGCTTCTTGATGATGCGCCAGCGCTTGTCGTCGCAAACGCGGTATGGACTTGCCCGCCATCGACGTGTCGTGGTTGTTCGTGGGGAGTTGAATGGGGAAGAAGAGGTTAGGGTTCGGACGCATATCTAAATTTAGGCAGGAAATCACCGCCATGCTGATGCTGATCTATTCCGCAGTTCAAAATTCCTGTCTGTGGCCATGCACTTTTAATAAGTCCTGTAGTCCTTGGATTCATCTCTAGATGCTTCAAGCAACAATCCCGGTAGTCATCTATGCAATTTCCTAGTCCCCGTGCTTCGCTTCTACCTGCAAAACTTGAGCAATGCTCTTCGCAAGCTCGGATGGCTCCGCTTTCATTGCCATGTCAAGGAACCACGATTTGCTCATGTAGTTTCGGATCCTTCCGAAATTTATCATCTGTTCGCTGAAAGAAGATCTGCGACGCACCCATCGGCAAGAACAAGGACAACATTTGCACCCTTGGTTTGTGCAATCTTCCGACCCTCGTCTGTCTTGAACCATTTGCCTGCCCCACTGAGCGCGCTACCACTGCTTCCGCCCACCAGCAAACCCTCGGAGCGCATCAAGACCTGGACAGCAGCAAATGCCTCCTCGTCTCCGGTCTTGATCCAAACATCCACATCATCCCGCGATAGAACGTCGGGAACAAAATCGTATCCGATTCCCTCGACAACATACGAGGATCCTTCTTCCTGGACGTTGAGGTCGTTGGGCACAGCTAGAATGCTTCCGTGCTTGAACAGAAATAAGTAGGGAATGATTACGAGTCTGAACCACGCACAGGATCGACGCCAACAACGACGCAGTCCTTGTTATGGGTCTTCTTCATTGCGCGGGAGACGCCAGTCACTGTTCCCCCCGTCCCAGCACCACACACGACTGCATCGACCTTGCACGAGGACGGATGTGCTTCGGTTGACGGCGTAGATATAACCGCTTCGATGATCTCCGGTCCCGTCGTGGTTTCATGTATTAGAGGATTGTTCACCTAGAAACCTGGTCAATCTCATGGGAGCGGGAGAGCCCGAGAACACACATTACGGTATTGGTCCAATATGATCCCGCCAGGAATGGCGAGTTGTAAAGCCTTGGCCACACCTGAGATCGTGGAGGAATTCAGCCACGAGAGTGCGGAACCGCAATGTGGGCACTACCTATGTGGCTTTCGGGGGAATCCCACGCAGCCTCCGTGGGGGTGCGAACCACTTCAGCTCCCAATGCGCGCAGAGCGGCTTCCTTCTCCTGAAGAGGCATGAGTTTTGGATGTCCCATCAAGATGTCGACCTGCATCTCACGAGAGACATCTTGTTCGGGAGAGTTATGATGCATTTGTACCCCTGCTGTATTGAGCGACAGTGCATCGTCCATGGAAATTGCCCACCTTTATGGCTGAGGCCATGGCCATTCCAATGCCTGCATTGAAATCAGCTTTGTGGCAGGGGAAGGGGATCTAAGCGAGGTCCACGCCACCTGTATTTCCCGACGTCGGCTCGATGATCACGCTCTGACCAGGAACCAGTTTGCCTTCCCTCTCGGCAGCCTCAATCATGGCCTTTGCTATACGGTCCTTGATAGAGCCTCCGACCGACATGTATTCTACTTTAGCCACTGTGGAGGTGTCAAAGTCGGCACACGTAAATCATTGCGCACTAGCAACGCACGCAAGTTGCACTTCAATTCCCATTGCGCTGCGATTTTGTCCAAACGGATGAGAGGGGTGTTTCCGACTGCGGCGAGCGCATTATCAAGGATTTGGCGAGGCATGGGGTTGTCCTTGACTGGATGGTGGGGGAAGTGAAGATGGCGATCACATCATAAATACTTCAATCGCATGCTCTCGGAAGGATCTTGTCGTCATCCAGATGGGAGAAAACAAAAGGAGTGTGCATTCACGTGGATTACAGAAACATATGTACAAAGTAGGAAGGAAAGACTTGTAATAAGATAACACAGAAAACGACCTGTGGATACAAAGCAGGACAGATACCAAGCGGATTATGTAAATTGGAATTCCAACGAAAGGGGGATCGCTATTCGCGGGCAACCCAGTCAGTGCTTCGGGAGACCAGCTCGATTGAATTGTCAGTTGTCCAGAAGAGCCGTTCCGTCGCACTACGGCCCGTCCAGCTCTTTTGATCACGGAGAATCATCGCTTGCTGAGCCCCGAAGTTGCGTTGGTCGTGAGCAAACAACTCAACGTTCTCCTCGAGAGCTTCGGTCAAAAGGGCTAGATCCTGGAGCATGGCTTGCATACACCGGACCGCAGCGAGGGTGAGAATTTCGCGACGGTTTCGGGTGGTTCCACTCCCTGTCGCATTTGGTGCAGGCAATGTGCGGCTGATGGTGGTAAGAACGGTGTGAAGAATTCGTTTGGTCTCGCTCAGGATCTTCTGAGCCTGAGGGAAGTTTCGCCGACTGACGAGGACGAGAGCCCGGGTGATCATGTCGCTCGTCAAGAGCTCCATTCGGCGCCGGACTATCATGGGGTCGGAGACTGCCGAGGAGGGGGATTGCCCCGGGTTCTGAGCTGGCAGCAATGTGACGGTAAGGAGCACAGGGTGAGCGAGTCGTGAGACGTGCTTGCTCGCTGCAGGGTCGAAAAACGAGCCGTCGACCTCAACAACGGGTACTTCGTCAATCATCCTATCCATCATGCCATCAGCAAAGTCGGGGCCGTCTTCCATGGCAAGGGCATCCAAGCCCATACTTGCGACGAACTGATCCGTCGCGTTCATGGCCCGCTGTGCGCCCCCAGCTCGACTATTCTGGGGCTGGCTCATGCGCATAGCCGCCATTTTTGCCTGCATGTCACTGTTGTCGAGTTCCATCTCGATCAACATCTCTTTGCGCTCCCCATATCTCAATTCTCCAACTTCGACGTCCACGTTCTGACCGTCACTGGCAAGGATGCTGCTTGGTCCCCCGCTGACTTTGCGAATCCTGAATCTCAGGCCATCCACGATCTTCATGTGCAGTTTCATTCCCAAAAGCCCAATAGACATCATCCCGCCGACACAACCGGCGACACAGTCTCTCAGGTCGTACCAATCCTTCACGAAAGTGTAGGTGCCAGAAGTGTGGTTGGACATGAGCCAGAGCGAAGCTGGGTCATGGGATCGGCCATAGCCAAACGAATGGATGGGGACATTTGCAGCTTCAGCGCGAGCTAGAACGAGATCCATTTGAGCGCGACGAGTCGAATCAGCGGCATCGGAGATCAGGAGCATGCCAGAGATTGGGTTCTTGGCCTTGCGCTGCAGCACGACATCCAGGGCTACATGAAGATGAGTGACCGTACACGAGGATGGTCAATATGAAACGTACCATGGTTGACGGCGGTCACGACATCCGTCTTCTCTTCTTTGCTCCCTCTCACCAAAAACTCGTCCTCTTCACCGGGCGAATTTCCCATGCTCTCAACGAATCTCTCGAGCCGTCGCCGACCGTCTTTGCCCTTCATAGCACTCAAGAAAGGCGTCTTTCGGACCCGACCGCCTGGACCCACTTCAAAGGTAACCAGACTGAGTCTGTCCTTCGGCCCAAGGCTTGCGATGACAAAATCGAGTGTTGTGCGGATAACTCGGACTTTGAGTGCAGCAGTGGACGGCGCAGCACCTGGCGGCGGTAAAGATATGACAAGAATCAAATCAATGGAAGGGTGGGCCACAGGTGCAAGATTATTGCTGGGTCCTGCACTTGTGTACGGGGTGACCAGACCTGTAGGAGATGAGTCGTAGGCGCTACCGTGAGAGCTGTGTTCGTCGTCTTCGCCCAAAGGACTGAGTTTGTTAGAGTAACCGCCCCTAGGTGGAGGGAGGCTGCCGTGGCTCGTGGAGCTGCTCATCGTGCTGCGGACTGACCCGTTCAAGAGGCTGCTGTCCATCGTGCTGGTCGTGGTGCCGCTGCCTCCAGACAACATCTTCATCGCTTTGGAATTGATATTTCCGCCGAACTCTTCCATGTCCAATCCCCTCTCCCGCATTCGTTCCTGTTCTTCCTGTCGCTGCCGTGATGGATTGTGATTCGGCGACGTCTCAATGAGAGACTGAATTTTGCTGCGCCATGCCTCCAGAGACGACCGTTCTTTGAAGATCAAGATGAAGCTAGCCAGGTCGTCTTCCATGTCGATTGTGAGACTCATCTCGCCGGCCGACGAAGACGCCGTCACATGCTTGATGTGACAAACAAAGATGCGACCACGCAATCGAAGCACCCCTCGAGTCGCACTGCCACCATTACTGAAGCTGGAGCCATCCGATGCGTTGCTCAACAACCGACCGAGAGATCGCTTCTTTTCCTCTGAAACACAGATGAGTGCCTCTCGAAAGAGGTAAACATAGAATTGCCGGACGACTGAGTCCCGGCGAACACCAAGTTGGTCATAAAGGTGTAATGGGCCAAGGTCTGAGATCGGATGCCCTTTCCAGTCGATTGTGCGTCTGCGGAGATCCTCAGCAATTGCACTGAATGGTGAGGACTCCTCCGGCTCAGGATCCAATGTCGAAGATGCATATTGGGGCGGGGAAGCACTGCCTTCGCTAGGTTCACGGCGTCGCCGAATCGACTCGGGGTGCGGAGATGAATGCCCAGACCGCTGGGATTGTGCCTGTGAATGGGGCTGAGGTGGACCAGAACCGGGAACAGGTCCGGTAGTGATGCGTTTGCCGGGCAACTCGATGACCACGATGCATGTCAGTGGCTGGTTACTGTCCGACGTGCGAGTGAGGGACGAAAACTCAGGGCGGACTTGAATGGACGGCGCCACAACATATGTGCTGTTGCTCCCGTACTGATCCTGCTTTTGAGGGCCGAGGTGTTCGATTGGGTCGTCGGCGTTCGGGTCGAAGGGGCGAGATGCATTAGAGTGAGAGCGATTGTTGCGTGCCGCAACAGAACCGTTATCGCGGCCAGGAAAGACGTTTCCACCGGTCTCTCGAGGTCCCATGCCCGTCAAGGCAGCCAATTCTGCGTCGCATGTGAATATTTGAGGCAGTCCTATCTGCAATCCCACTCACTATTAGACTTTCCAGAATCTCCATCTCCCACTTTCATCGGACGGCGACAGACACCACAGACGCCAAGGTTGCTTTTGCGGGGTACCGTCGAGCGAGCCTGTGATGGGGGAGGTCCATACACTGCCGTAAAACAAGCCTAAAACAGTCAAAAACCTGGGTAAGGGACAGAAAAAGCGTACTTCATGCAGTGCGTGTCCACACTCGGGTACAATGTGAGGCTTTTCACCCGGGAGACGAAAGCTGAAACTAAGGGGCTCGAGGCATACAGGGCATTCCTCCTCCTCCTCCTGCATCTCCGAATTGGACACAACTGGTAAAGGTGCGACGTGCATTGAATACGGGTGATTTGAACGGTCACTGGCAGTGGTGGCGGCGCTGGAGGTCGAATACAAGGAAGGGGCACGGGGGGCAGAACGGTTTCTCTTGCGATTGAAGACCGCCGACAACGAAAAAGCGGGCGTGCTTGAGCGAGAGTCTGGCGAGAGAGTCTCCGGGAAATGAACGTCGGACGGAGGCCGGGGCGCCTTGCGCGGGGAGATGAAGGTGGTGGAGAGGGTAGAATCTCTAAGTTTAGGAGTGTGATGATCGGAATAACCCTGCGCTTGATGTCTGTTGTTCATGCCACGTCCGTTACAGGAGAACCCAGGATCAGAACAAAGTTCTGGTCAAGTTCTCGGGCGAAACGGGATGTACAACAGATGGGAACTGGAAAAGGGGGATGGCACGAATCCAGAGAAGTCCCAAACAGAGGTTCGAAGCCAAGGTGGCTTCCATTCGCATCACGACTGCAATCAATATTTGTCCTCATTTGATGGCACACATTGCGCTCTCTTCGCTCATGCCTACACCGATATCATCCAGGCTAGTAACACCGTTGTCATTCCGCGAGCCGTCGCAGGAAGTGCACGTCAAGTCGCCAAACGGACTGATCGTGGACTGAACACATCCATGTGTTCCACATTTATCAATCCAGCTAGAAGAAGATCCGAGCAACTCGTTCCCATCACTCATCCCCGACTCTTGCTCGAAGCTGGCAGAAGACATTGACAAGCTGTTCTGTCTTATCAGCGAGTAGCCCAAACTCCTGTGCTGTCATGCTCCAGCCCGGTGTCAACGTCCGCATACAAACCATCTCACGGCGTACATCTCTGACGAATCCTGTCTCCAAGTTCCCGGGATGAGACGTGCATGCTGCGCTGCTGCCTCACCAGACGCTTGTTGCATCAAGATGGTTGGACAGCTGCCGAGGTGCTTTCCCTGCTTACTTCTCTCAGTTGTCAGATCTATAGCTCATGACATATGTATATGTATCATCATGATCATCACACCTCAAATCTGAATGACTATTACGTCTGCTCAGTTCTCGCTTCAGACTCTCGCTTTATACTCTTGCTTCATACTCGCCTTCACTATGAAAACTCAATGCCCCAAGTGAAGCATGCATCTAGTATAGCTCCCTATCATTCCTCATGGGGACCGCGCCGGTCCTCTACCTAGCTTGTCAAAAACTTTGGTGATATCAATTCTCCCACCATACCAACTCCCCAAACACAATCTCACTCTTGACCGGGACCGATGCCAAGCAGTTTTTGAGCTATCTGTAATGGTAAATAACCGGATCACTTTCATTGAATCACTTATCTTGTTTCCGCAAGCTCAAATCCTCTCAGAGGGCACTCATTCAAGTTTCTTCACCTTTTTCGATATCATTATTGAACGCAGTGATCGCAGATATTGGGGCGAGCTTGAGGGAGCTTGAGGCTAGAGTCTGAGACTGGTCTGAGCCAAAATTCGAGCGGAATTATCTAAGTTTTTGAATCGAGTTGACAGTCGGTTACATCAAACATGTGCTTTTATCTTATCCTTGTACGACTAGGAAATCACACTCGCGCCACACGTGAGTCCCACGTGCCGTCGCCTTAGCGTCACAAGCATCACAGAGACTTGTGACACCTTCCTCAGGCTTATTACAGTGGACTTCTGCCACTTGTCCCTCCTTGTTCTCCCTTAGCCTCACTGTTATACATGCCTCGACTCCGAAATGTCCAGCAGAAGTGACCCTAAAGTTCACAGTGTCACGTCTGACCTGCAAAGCACTAAAATCACGGACAGGACGAAGGGATTGAAGAGATGTCGCGAGCTGATCGCTGAAGGCAGGATCTCAGTGGATGCTGAATCCTCCTCTTCTCTCATAGGTGCTATTCTCCAGAGCATAGAAGCCGATGTTGCCAAAATCCGGGAGTCAAAGACCCAGGATTTGAAATCACCAGAAAGGATTAAGAGTGCTGCCAACTGTCTACGAGATATCGTCGGGAAAAGCGCGCGTATCCTCTCTCCAAAACACTTTCCCAAGTGGCATACGAGGATCCGTCTCGTCCTCACGCGTCTTTCCGACGCTCCTGTCCTCGACCTCATGAAGGCGTACCGCTTCTTTCTTGAATGCGAACCGATAATCCAGGGGAAATATCTGACGGAGAAAGTGTGGGTCGAGTTAGCGGAAATGTGCTTCAATGTCGTTTTGTCCGATGATATGAAACGCAAGTTCGCAGACGATGTGCAGGGTGACGAATCGGAGGTGCAGAGTTCGGATGCCGCGATGGAAAGTGAAGACTCGAGCCTTTCTCTGTCATCCTCTCCTTCCAAGAAGCGAAAACGCGTCCATTCGCGTCCGCATCGAACGCACAAGCTGAAGCCGGTCAAAGTTTGCCGCAAAGAGTTACCAACCGGGGCTCAAAACGAAGCCATGGTCGTTCTCTCCATTCTACTTCATTCCCCCCATGCGCCATTGTCTGTGAATCAAGTCACCGGGGACGACGACCGCTATGCCGTGTCGTATGCCCATGTTCCGAGTTCAGTTCTGACTCGTTTCGGGCGCGCTCTCGAGTGCTATGCAGTCGACGCTTCTCTTTACTACGACATGCTGACGGCAATTCTTTCCACCCTCGATCACGTGGCACTCAATCGTCCCACCGAGGTGACGCGTTTCTCGTTCGAGAACTGGGCTTTGCTAGTCCAGGCGTGGAGAACCAAGAAGACAAATATTGGCGAATCGCTCATTTCGGTGCTCCGCACTCTATTTCCTTATCTAACTCACCAAGACCCAAAGGATGTATCCTTCCCTTGGATTGATGATATATCCACTTTACTCAAGACGCTGGATTTCGAGGTGGTCAACAGAGGATCAGAAGGGTTGTTTCTGGAGTGTTTGCGTCTTGAGATCGTTGATTGCGGCGCGTTTCGTCCTCTTGGCGCGTTTACCAGTTGGACCCTACGGTCTGGTCACAATTTCGATGCCGCACAGGCTCTTTCATGGGCTGTCCTGGAGTTTCAGGCAGATTGCGTTCAGAAGGTGCGTGTCTACTCCTTCGACTTGACTTTTCTCAACATCTCGGTAGATTTATGAACATTCGGAGACATACATGAACCCTGGAACGAAACGCTCTAGGCAGGAGAATGCACTTCTTCTGCTTCTAGATCCAGGTCTCCAGCCCAACGTGCGCGCCCACCAGCTGCAAGTTCTCCTCTTTTTCATCGAGCGACACTGGAGCGTTGTTCATGTCGACAATCGAAAAGAGGTGTTTGGCAGACTGCTCCGCACGCATGCATCCGACCCACCTTTGATCCAGTCTTGGACGCTGCTGTGTCTCACGGCAATCGCACATGCCGACATGCGGGCACCGAACCCCGATACGCGGACGTACCAGCCAGATTGGGACAGAGTTTGGTCTCATGCCTTGCGTGGAGTCCGGACAGCGGCGATCTCTCGCGCGGCTTGCCACGCCGCATTTGTCCTCAACTCTGCCCCATCATTGGTCTCTGCACGGCATTTGGCAGATGGAATCCAAACCCTCGCAAAGGAACTGGAGATCCAGGGGCCCCCTTTCCCTTACGATTCGGTCTGCGCTTTTCTCTCCCAGTCGATTCAATTCGCTAGGCAGGACGCGCGGATTCATCGGATGCATCTGGAGGACAAGGTTCTCACGTGGTTGATTCAGTCCTGGCCCAAGCCCCGGGGTGTGATCTTGCCCCAGTCCCTGCTCCAGGACGCCCAGCTTCTCTTGCAGACGATATGCGGCATGCGCGAGCGGACGCACGTGTCCTGCCGTCCTTTGCTGCCCGATTGCGTCATCGTCCGAGCTTTGATTAGTCTCGAGAAGACGAGGGTTGTGCGCGAGTACATATTGGACGCTGTTTTGCCTGCCGTGCCACGTGAACGCACAGTCCGCCCCTCGCAGGCTATTGACGGCGAGGATCTCGCTGAGGAGACGCCTCGAGAACAGCGACTATCCAGGTTTCTGATTGATCGATTGGGTGATCTCATGTGGGACTGGGAATCTGCTAGTGCACCCCGAACACATCTCAACGCTGGTTCAGCTCGCTACGCGCTTGACTTCGCAGTCATAGCCCTGTGCTTTGAGGCCGCGCTGGGGCTGAATGGGACACGACCGAATCGTCCTGTGATTCAGGCTGCCTGTAAGCTGTCAACCACAGTCACATCTCTACTTGCCACGGACAGCAAATACCCACTGGCCGATGTTGCGCAGATAATGCTTAGCCTCGAGCCCCTGCTAACCACCACGGGACGAGACGAGGACGCCAATGCGTTCCCCCTTGCCATGCTGACTCCCACCGTTGGCTCTGGAATCAAGACTGAGATTCTGGAGCGTCTCGGCCTAAATCACGACAGCGTCAAACAGCAGGCGGCAGCTAGGAAACAAGAGCTGATCAGACAGCTTGCCCTCAGCACCGATGTAAGGCACGCTTTCATCCATTCTCAGCTTCGTGATTTATTTTCTTTCAGGTGCAAGACGCCTTTGGGACCATTGCTGGCACGTTACGAACCGTCCTGGAGCAGATTTTGAAGGGTTCAGGTGCGGCCTCTGAGCCAATGGATCCCGAGAACTTCTTCCCGGACACCTCGATCAGAGCCGATAAACATCTCACTCCCGCTGTGCGCACCGTGCAAGAGCTTTGCATAGGCTTTCTTGCCATGAATGGTGGCCTGCTGTTGCCAGCCAATGATCCGGTCTTCGACAAACAGCTTACCGAGGTTGTACTGCTTCATGGCCAGAAGGATCTCGACGACATCCACCTCGAGGCTATGCGCACCTTCCTCTGTTATGTCCGCCACGGAGACCTGGACCTGTACCCCAGGTTCATGGAAACGGCGCAATACATCTCAGGGTTGTCCAAGTCTCGCACCATCAAGTGCAGGGAGGCCTTTCACCTGCTTCTTATACAGTTCATCGAAGCGACACTGCCCATCTGGACCCGTAAGGCCGCTGTTCCCAAAGCCGCCGTAGACATCCTCAACTTCATCGCGCACGAGGATGATCTGTTCCTGTCGTGGAGAGCTCGCGATGCTCAAATCCAGTTTTGCGCGCGCTATCTCGCTGCGGACCCCAGTTCGACCATCTGGAAAACATATGTGGACCACCCGGAGGATGATGAGAACGACAGTGACGATGAAGGCGACGATCCCGAGGCGTGGAATCCGATCGGGATGCTTCGGACGGGAACAGACGACCACGATGTCCGTGTGCGTTTCCGCGCGGCTCTCTTGGTTCCTGATCTCTTTGCTGTTTCGCGTGCTGGCTCGGAACCCATCGCGGGGCTATACGAGGCGATCGGAAGGATGCTGCCACGACTGGGATCCAGGTCAGTGTCATTGTCGTTGCGTGAGTTTACGATCGCTCAATTCATTTTCCATAGTCGTGAAAAGATTTTGACGCGTCTTCTAACGGAGGGCAACATCGCGATCGTTGATTCTGCGACGCGCCGTTCAGGGTATTACCACATTCTCGAACCTTCCTTCGTTGATCCTACTCTTTCGCGACACACCGAGAGGATCCTTCGATGCGTTGCGCAGCGCCTGGGCTTCCCGAGCTTCCGCGGTCTGTTCGACGCCTATGTGTCCCAGATAGTGTTCTCCATCCGGCTGCTATGCCCTGCCAACCTGCTCAAACTCCCCGTACAATTACTTGGGTACGAGCACCGGACCATCTACACCGCGCATTTCCGCACCTTCGGATACATGATCCTTGCCATGGACAGCCAGACGGGCGACGGCTCAAGCCAGTTTCGCGCGCTCTGTACACATGTTGGCAAGGATCCCGCTGTGGGCATCCAGGAATGTTTCGCAGACGTGACCGGATTCTGCATCCTGTCGTTTCTGAAAGGCACCGTCGCCGAAGACATGAGCGCTCAAGCCGCTGCCGCTGCTTCCGGTGCGCTCATGCCAGAGGCACCGAGCGTAGCAGAGGATGCCTTGCGAGAGCTTCTCTTGCGTTGGACTTCCGATCCCCCGAATTTTGACGAGTTGCTCGAGAACACGGTCGATGGCACACTTGCTTTCATCTTGCACTCTCTGGGCGACCATGATCCCGCTGTGATCCGGAGAGCGCTGCAGCGAGAGGAGCCGGTGTCCACGTATTCGACCGTGTTTTCGGCGCTGGTGAAGTACCAGGAGCAGGCTACAGAGATCTACTCTGACAGGAATCCAAGTTTTCCCGCATCAGGGCTGTTGCTTGCCATGCAAAGCCTGTCGCAATTGGTGAATGAGCGGGATCGCAGAGCAACCGTTTATCATGTGACACAACAGCTTTTTGCGGATATCCTGCGCTCTCCGCTTTTGGACCAGCAGTTCCGGTTGCTGAACGCCCTTTGCTTGTGGATCGCCGTTCGATGGCCAGATTTCCACGACTCCACTTTGCTACACCGCTTAGTCTGTGGCGCCGCATCGCTGTTGGCACAGAGAGATCTATCCCGCCGAGCTCAGTCTATCTTAGAATGGGCATTCAAGCAGTATCCTCAGGTCGAGCAAGGCCATCGTCGACTGCCGGATATTCTCTTGCGAGTCAGCTCAATCGTTGACGATTTTACCCGCCAGCCCGCATCGCAAGAGCTGGGTGCCAGTCTACGCACCTGGGTCGACGAACAGGTCTCTGAGCTATACGATGTTGCGGAACTGACTGAGCATATCGTGAGGGCGCTCTCAGCCTGGCCCTGGAGCCACGATCGCCACGACGCAAGCACGCTTGCGACACTCTCAGACATCCTCGGCGATTCATCCATCGTGTCGAATCGGTTCCGCCTGGTGCGCCGACTACAAGCACTGTCGTCTCAGGCCGTCGACCCGGATGCCCACGCTCAATTTGCCGACATCGATTTCTGGCGGCTCAAGGAATCCATTCTGCCGCGCGATCAGCTGCAGATCCAGGACGTGGAGGCGTTTGCAACTCTGCTGGAGACGCGCGAGGGCCGCATCAGCAGCTTTCCGAGGGAGCAGTCCCGGTTCCACGGCAAGCGTCGCGACGGAACGTCCAAAGCGATTGATTGGATCGTCACCGAGCTGCTGCTGATGCTCGATGCGAGCGACATCTCGACGGTCCATGTCGCCTACCGCACCCTTCGTTTGGTCATGTCTGTGGATCCCACCCACGCCCTGGAGCTGTCTCCTGACCATCACCGGGAGATCGAGTTAATCAAGACATACCGGTGTGTGCCCCTGGTGCGGATGCCCCGCTCACTGGAAGAGCTGCATGATCCTGAAAGTGCTCTCGTTGGTGCCGAGAGCGACTTTCCCCATTGGGTTCGATTGGTGGCGACACTATTAAGCGATATACTCTCTGTCCATGAGCCGTTTTACGCTCAGCTGACACTGATCCTCGAGGCAGATTCCGCATTCACTGCCAAAGTGTTGCCGGTCTTGGTCCATGCTGTGCTTCAAATCGATCCTGCCAGCCGAGAGCCACTCTCGATTTTCCTCAGAAATGTTCTCCAGTCTGCGGCGGCGAGTCTCGAATGCACACGTTGCATCGTCGATATCGTGCTCTATCTGCGCCAATTCGGACAGAATCTGGGCAAGAGAGATCTGTCGCACGACAAATGGCTCGCCATCGACTACATGCTGTTGGCAGAGAAGGCGATCCAGTGCGGTGCCTACACGACTGCGCTGCTCTTCATCGAACTCGCCCACGAATACTCGCCGCAAATCCAGGAGTCTGCCGAGGAGGAGCTGTTGTACGAGATCTACAGCCATATCGACGAGCCGGACGGCTTTTACGCAGTCAAGTCACGCGATACAAGCCGGCTGCTCGTGAAACGGTTTCATCACGAGCATCAGTGGGACAAGGCTTTCCATTTCCACGGCGCCTCTTTCACGAGCGGCGTTCCCGATGAAACTGCAGCGTCGGGACTGGTGAACTCGTTCCATGCCTTTGGGTTTGACGGGCTAGCGATGGACGCGTTATACAAGTACTCTCCGTCGTCAGAGCTGACACCCTTGACGTATCGGCTCGGTTGGCGCACCGAGAGCTGGGATCTTCCTGACAGTACTGCATCGGGGGGCGGTGGCTCACTCTACCGTGCCTTGCGGGCAGTGTTCGCCGGCCGAAACAAAGATGCGATTAAAGCCACAATTCAGGCTTCGTTCCTCGAGGAAATCGAACGTCTCCGGGTTCTTGGGTCCGAGAACCTCACTGGAATTCGAGATGCTGCCCAGAACCTGATGTGCATCCAGCAAGTCTCGCGATACGCGATGACCGACATCGCGGACAGATCGAGCCAGTGGGTGTCGTTTGCGACTCTCGGGAGCGGATTCGAGTGCGTGGTGGTTCTCAGATCCGGTTTTTTCTCACATCGCTCGTAGGTTTCCTGACTTTGAGAATCTGATGGCTACGCGGTTAGCACTGGTCCGCGCGGACAAAAGAAGAGAAGAAACGCGCAATGGGGCGTCGCCGATTTTGCGGTCGCTTTTGGACGTAGAGAAACAATGTCTGATCCGGCTATCTCAAGCCGCGCGAGAGGCACAGCAGAGCCAAATCGCGCTCAACTCGATAGAGACCGCACGGCGAGACGACTCCGTTCCTGAACCAATCGAGGTGTCCGTCGAGTATGCACATGTTCTGCACATGCAGAACGAGCAGCAGCTTGCTGTTAAATTGCTGACTGATCTGAACCTTGCCGAATCACAGCTCGACGACGCGGATAAAGCTGTCAATTTCGCATGCCTGGTAAGCCTGGATTCTTATCCATACGCTATCACAGCCCTCACCTCTCTCTCCCAGGGCACGTGGTTGTCGGCTGCCCGATTGGGTGACCCTACCAACATCGCCGAGTACTTTGATTCGGCGGCGCTGTACGTCAAGCAGTCTCCGGACCCAGAGTCACGTGTAAAGCATGCCTTTGTGTGCGAGAAATACGCCACTTTTGCAGCCCAGCAGTACAAGACGATCAGGAGTTCCTCCGATGGGATACGGTGGCAAGTGTATGTCGACCGGAAGAGGGAGCAGCTCAAACACCTCGCCAAACAAGGCCAGCTCAATCTCGTCCCTTCGACCGAGCGACTGTACCAGATAGATTTGGCCCATCTCAACAAACACGCCGATGCATTGCAGATGTTCCTCGCCCAGGCGATTGAGATGTACTCCAGAGCCTTGGAGATTTCGGATGACTTTGACGGAGACGCGCCCATCCGGCTGTGCTCGCTGTGGTTCCAGAACTTCAATTCCACGTCGGATGCTTTCCAGCAAGTCATCCAGTCGGCACTCAAACGCGTTCCGTCTCGCAAACTGGTTTTTCTTGCGGTACGATCAGAAGCACACTGGATGCGCCCATTTTACTCATCTCAGAGTCCAGCACCAACTGTCGGCGCGCATCGACAAGTCGTCAGACCCGACTCAGAAGACGCTTCAGAGCACGGTGCTGAAGATGTGCGTCGAGCATCCATTCCACAGCTTTTACCAGGTCTGGTCTCTACTCCCCGCCACCGAGCAAGCAGGTTCTCTCTCGGAAAACCGCCGACAATCTGGCCGATCTGCTGCTGCCACCGAGTTCACATCACGGAGCGAAGCTTCCAGCGAACTTTTCGCGCGACTAAAACAGGACAAGCAGTGCCGGAAACGGGTCCTGGATATGGCCCTGCTCGCATCGGCTTCTCAGCAGTGGGCATTACACAAGCTCGACAAGAATCATGTGTCTGGAAAGTACAGGCCTATACCGGCTTCCATCAAGCTGCAGTCCATTGCCAACCTGAACGTGCCCGTGCTGACAAACCCGCCCGCGGTGGATCCGTCTCTCAAGTATACGAGTTTCGTTGCAGTCGGCAAGTTCGATACGCAATATACCACGGCGGGTGGTGTCAATCTTCCCAAGATCTACATCTGTTTGGGATCGGATGGCGCTACATACAAGCAGCTGGTGCGTTGCGCAATCGGCAACAAACTCTTCCACGATCTGAGCCTTTTCCGCAGTTCAAAGGATCCGGGACACAAGATGATCTGCGCCAAGATGCAGTGATGGAGCAGGTGTTCACTCTCGTCAACACTGTCCTCGCCGGAAACCGGGAGACCAAGCGCCGCTCGCTACTGGTCAGAGGCTATCGGATCGTTCCGCTCGGTGCCATGGCCGGCGTCCTGGAATTCGTGTTCGACACGATCCCTTACCTGTCATTGGTGAAAAACCTGTACCGGGAGTAAGATGGCTTCTTTAGGGCTGAGCACGTTTCTAAGCATCTATTTCCAGCTACACCCCCAGCGGGAGCTGGACACTCGCGAAAGCAACTGCCGAGGTGTTCCGATGGAAGACCGAGAAGATTGGCGCGCAGGCGAGAGTGCCGTTAATGGAGCAATTGCTCCGCAATTTCCGACCCGTGCTGCGACACTATTTTACCGAGCAGCACAAGAACCCATTGGCGTGGTTCGAGATGCGTCTGGCGTATACGCGCAGTGTTGCGACTACGTCGATCGTCGGACATATCCTCGGGCTCGGGGATCGCCATGGATCGAACATCCTTGTGTCGAAGACGGGCGAGGTGGTTCACATTGATCTCGGCATTGCCTTTGATCAGGGCACGTTCTTGCCTGTCCCAGAGCTGGTGCCGTTCCGGCTGACAGCGAATATGGTTGATGGCATGGGTGTCTCCGGCACCGACGGGGTGTTCCAGAGATGCTGCGAGGAGACCCTGCGAGTGCTCCGCGACCGATCGGAGGTTATTATGACCGTTCTGGAAGTGTTCAAGCATGATCCGCTCCACAGCTGGACAATGAGTGACTATAAGAAGAACAAGGCACAGCAGCCGCCCGATGAAGGAACCCTCAAATCTACTGTCGCACTCCAAGGTCTTGGGATTGACATCGATATGTCCAGCGGGAACGCAGCCGAATCGGCAGACCGGGCGCTGGCCGGTGTGACCCGGAAACTTGACAAATCGCTGGCTGTCGGATCTATGGTCAACAGTCTCATAGCCCAAGCAACCGACCCCGCTCGACTCGCCTCCATTTATTATGGTACGCTTCAGAGCCTTATTCTCTCTGTCTATTCTCACTATATCGCCTAGGATGGGGACCACAGAACTAGCTCCACATGTACATATATCGTTATCTAATCTAATCTGTTGTGAAACATTGACGACCACATCATTGTTCCTACCCAAAGCCCGCCCTCTCCTCGAGACGAGTTTTACCCTGTTTTACTGTTGTAGACTGATGTCCTATTTAAACCCGGTTTCGAAGCAAATTCATCACCGCGAGATTCTCTGCCACGTGCAGGTCTCGACCTCAACCGAGACTACAAGGTAATGATTTAACTGTCAGCGACCGAACGCGTTTTTCCTTTGCTTCATCTGTTGACACGTTTTTGCGTTCGCGCGTCGCGTATCCAAACAAGAAAAGCTCTTTACGTTGTGCCATAAGTAGTACAAGTCGAGGGGAACTTGGTTCACCGTATTTGATTTGGATGAAACGTGATGTTTTTGGGTAGTGGAGGGCAAGTAGTTGCCTGAGCAATGTCTGAGTCTGCACACTCTCGAGAAAGCATCCAAGAATTCAACGCGCTCCTCGCCGCAGCCAAAGCTCCCCCTCACCGGCAGGCCCCTTCCCCACCCTCAAAGGCTCGGAACTCTCTCCAAAAACCTCAACGGTTGCGGAAATCGAGTCTACCTAGCTCGCCTCCACCCAACGTCACACATCATCCGAGCGATCCGTTCGCCAGCGATTATCCCAATTCTTTCCAAGGCAGTCACAAGGATCCCTCCGGATTCCCGTACACGAGGTCGACCTTCAGCAGCGGCTCAGGTATCGAGTCCAACGGAGTAGGGACAGCGTCGCTTGGCACTTCCGCATCGTTTTCATCATACATCTCCTCCACTCCTTCATCCATGACCACCACCTCGCCTCCCCCGCGCCCCTCTCGCGCCAACACTGCGAACCTGACAGACATCCTGTCTGATCCCGCCGTCAACGGCCGTCTTTCCAGCCCCGTAGTCCCCAATCAGGACGGCCACTTTTATGCCGATCCCGGCGAGCAGCTTCCCCCACCACTGCCCCCAGTAGACTACCCACAGCCCCCTACAATACGCAGCCGCAGTGGTACGACGTCCTCCAAGGGCAAAAAATCCGTGCTCGGGTTTATCTTCAATTCTACCAAGCGGCCCGAGATCAGTACTCCCTACGACCCCGTCCATCTCACCCATGTTGGTTTCAACTCGTCTACGGGAGAGTTCACTGGGCTTCCCAAGGAATGGCAGCAGCTGCTCTCCGAAAATGGTATTTCGCGCTCAGACCAGGAGAAAAACCCGCAGGCGGTCATGGAGATCGTCAAGTTCTATCAGGAGGGCCAAGCCGACGGCGCATGGGATAAGCTTGGTGCTATTCCATACGACACTGTAGATTCAGGAGGAGGGGGAGGGGGAGATGGACTCAACAATCCCGTGCGTTTCTCGCCGTGTCTTTTTGTACATAAGCTCAGCTCATCCCAAACTAGCGTCTGCCGCCACTCCCGCCGAAAAAGGCGCCTTCGGCCTTCTCATCACCTCCTCCTCCCGCTGCATACAGGCCAGCCCCAACGCCTCCCTCAGCCGCGTCCCCGGCCCTCGATCGCTCTACGTCTCAGCGCATACCCAATAAGGCACCTGTGGCCAAGCCCGTCGAGCGATCCAACACGACGCGCGAGCGGGCCCAGCCGACCCCGCCAGGCAAATTAGCTCAGCCCGGCTCGGTCAGTGCCCAGGCCACGCCCAAGGCATCGCCAGGCTCGTCAGCTAACGACCTTCCTCTACGGACAACGGCCCCACGTGCGGCACCAGCGGCACCCAGTCCAGCTGCAGCCTCTCTCGCCAAGGCTAGTGCAGCCGGTGCAGCAACCCCTCGGCGACGTGAAAAGAAGCCGGCGGACAAGGATAAAGATGCCGATGTGGTGCGGCGGCTGCAGGCCATCTGTACCGATGCGGATCCGACTCGTTTGTACCGCAGCCTTGTGAAGATCGGGCAGGGCGCTTCTGGTGGGGTCTACACTGCTTACCAAGTGGGCACGAACTTGTGTGTCGCTATCAAGCAGATGGATTTGGACAAGCAGCCTAAGAAAGACCTCATCATCAACGAAATCCTCGTCATGCGGTCTTCCCGGCATCCCAACATCGTCAACTACATCGACTCGTTCCTGCACAAGAACGACTTGTGGGTCGTGATGGAATACATGGAGGGCGGGTCCCTGACTGATGTCGTCACCGCCAACTTGATGACGGAGGGGCAAATCGCTGCCGTTTCCAGGGAGACCGCACAGGGTCTTCAGCACTTGCACAGACATGGAGTTATCCACCGAGACATCAAGAGCGACAACATCCTGCTCAGTTTGACTGGCGATATCAAGCTTAGTGCGTTGTCACCCATCAGGCATTTTGGTAGTCTGATCGCTTTTTGCAGCCGACTTTGGATTCTGTGCTCAAATCTCGGATCCCGCGCATGCTAAGCGGACGACTATGGTGGGGACTCCCTACTGGATGGCTCCGGAGGTTGTGACACGAAAGGAGTATGGCCCTAAAGTCGATATCTGGTCTCTTGGCATCATGGCGATCGGTGCGTCCTGAAGCTTGACTGAGGGTGTTCTCGTCTCACCACTGTTTCTGCTTGCAGAAATGATCGAAGGCGAACCACCGTACTTGAACCAAAACCCGCTCAAGGCTCTCTATCTGATTGCGACGAACGGAACGCCGACCATCGCCAACCCCGAGAGTCTCAGCTCCATCTTCAGCGATTACCTTGCCAAGACACTCGAGGTTGACGCTGAAAAGCGTCCGAATGCGACCCAATTGCTTGCGCACCCCTTCTTCACGCTCAGCGAGCCTCTGAGAACTCTGGCTCCCCTTATCAAAGCGGCACGTGAAATCGCCAAGGCACCCAAGTGAATACTAGGCTGCAGGAGACAGAAACGTTGTCAGCGAAGTCCACTCTTTACTTATCTCTTTCTTCCTCTTCCTCTTTTTATTGTAATGGCTGTTGTTCCAAGCCTATCTGAACCTTCCATCTTCTCTAAGACGTACCATATCCCACTATCTGTGTTTGTACTCTCCCGAACTGGCCGCTGCCGTCCTGTACGACGCATCGCTCTCAGAGAGCCCTCGCACACCTAGTTCATGTGTTTCTGTATCACCATCCCCGGTCCTATACTCACTGAGCGCGCATATATACCAGAAGAAGAAGCGAAGAATTCGTAACACAATAAAAAGACTGCTGTAAAATCATATTTATGACGTTGTAGAGCGTGTCTGCAAGGATCGTTCATTCAAATATTCCGATACAACTTGTACAACTTCAATTCTTGAGATGGATCTCGCCGATGACCGAGTGCACCAGTTGGTGTTTGTCAACCTCAACACCGTCCGCCCACTTGATATCGATCTGAGGACCGAAGATGAGTGCGTGGGACGAGCCGCCGAAACGGAAACTGGTCGGAGGTTAGCAAAAAGATGTGGTATCTGATACGGAAGCAAACATACCAGCCCAGCTCGTCTCCTGCCTGGACACGATCGCCCGTGTTGACAGAGATACTGGTGGTGGAGACCTCCGCCATGCCAACACCAATGAACACCATAAGTCCGATGTCCGGGTTGTCGGACTGGATGTAGATGATCGCGCGAGAAGAGGTGGTGGTCAACCAGCCTTGCGACCGGATCATCGCGCCGTGGGGCTGCCCAGGCTTCAAGTCGGGATCGTCCTCGGGTGCTCCTTCGTCGGGAAGGACAGCGTAGTACGTGCCCGGAATGACATCGGCACGAACGATCGTGCCGGAGATGGGCGCGTGCCATCTGTGGTAGTCCTGCGGGCTGAGGAACGCCTGGTACACAGTCCCTCCGTTCAACATCTCTGCTACCTCCGGATCTCTGATCATGTTTTGGATGGAGTAGGTCTGCGCCTTAAGCCAGAAGCGGTCGTGGCGCTTGACGTTGTCGGTGATGTGGTACACCGTGGACTCGCACGCGCTGTACAGAATGAAGTCCTGGCGAGCGGGGTCGCTGGCTGGGATCAGAGGGCGCGTGCCGGGAATGTATTTGCGAATGAAGAACTCATCCCACGACTTGTAGCCCTTGCTCGGAAGACTGGGGTCAGGGCACACCCAAGTATCCTCGAAGCGTCCGCGACCTCCGGCTTCCATGCTGGAAATGGCCGCCGAGCTGAACCAGCCCTCCGGTCCGTCGTGCAGGCACTTGGCAGAGGCCGGCGTCGTGAGGAACTCGCCCCAGGAATCCAAAAGCTTCTTCAGCTCGACATTGAACGCAGGTTTGCGGAACAAGTCGTATGCGGCGGTTGTGTTGCCCAGTAGGTCGAAGAGGACGTAAAGAGGAACCCCGACGGGCTCTCCGATCACATTGCCGTCGTCATCCTCTGCGATGTGGAACGCCGGGGGCTTCTCGACGACATTGTCGAATGCATGCAGGAGCATGTCCAAGCTCGTGATCTGCGGTGCGTCAACATGCGGAGCAGTTCCCGTAGCTGCACAACTTGGACCTTGTTCTCTCCGCTGGCCTGGTCGAAGATGTCTTCGAACAGAGCGACCATCTCGGGATCAGCCTTGATCGCGGCGCCGAAAGCTTGAACAGCCGCAGTAGAGTGGTCGGCATCTTGTGCTACTTTGCGACGAGCGTGACCGACGTGGTGGTCCAAGAAGCTCTCGTGGATGGCTGGGTGAGACGGCAGCCACCCCCCGTAGCGAGAGAGTATGGTTTTGGGACGCTGGATGTGGGACATCGTTATCTGACTGCCGCTCCCTGAGTGTGCCGTCGTCTTTTATAGCGCAACCAGAGCTTCCATCTGAGCTGCTGAGCGAGTGTAATCATGTTTCAGCCGCTCAAGCGCGAGACAAGGTCCCCGCCACTGACGTTGGCTACTGCAGGTGATTCCAGGCCTGGGCTAACGGCTCTCTAGCACCCTGTGAAACTGATCAGCAGACTGCATTCATGTCCGACTTGGGGGCGAGGAAGCGCGAGTAACGAGAAAAGCAGGCGTGTGCACTCCCGTTCCTTGCGGCTTGTTCAACGGGTGAGACTCGAGAAGGCTCCAATATCACAGCATGGGCGAGGAGCCGAGCCGGGACTACGGCGGTGGTGTACGCGAATGACGATACGAGAAGTGGAATGGTTTCATTGATGTGGCTAGCCAACTGTACAAGATATGGAAGAGGGATATAGGACGCTACAAAAACCATGAAAGCCCCACCAGACAGACTCCCATTTCTCAAGGGTCCTTCGGAGCGTTGATTAGACGCCCCGAATACAACGATTTGGGCCATCACCAGAACCAATACAGGGTGGAGTATACCCACTGCTTGGGCAGAAATAGGCCAGGAAGACATAAGAGAACAGGAACAAAAGAAGAAGACGACAAGTGTAACATTGAGGTAGTGAAAGACGAACAAAGGATGAATGATGCGAAATTTTCAGCTTTATAGTCAACGTCTAGACGTTTGATCGGTGATTGCCGGTAGTCTCCCCATGCGACAGGGCTCACCACCAAGCCAAGATTCCCATTACAAAGTTCGGCGACGCTCTAAGTTACAGGTTTGCAGTGGTTAATTTTGTTACAAAGATTTCGGGATATATGACTAGGTTTGTACGAATGCATAATGCAGATCTGCCTTTTACCCTCCGATCTCTTTCTACCGAGATCAGAATGTTCCAACTCTAATACAGATGCTCCGGTCAGAATAGTTATACATAGCAGCGGTCTTGAGCTTAAGATCGTATTCCCCGTGGAAATCCACATCTAGCTGCTGCTGCAGGGGCACGAAAGACCGCGCTTCAGCTCGCAGCTTGAATGAAAGGGCTTTGGCAAGGGATTTGTCTGCATCACAAACTTCCGCATCATAACTGTCTTCTTCTACTAGCGTGAGATCCTCGCTCGAGTTGGTTGTCGACGAGAGTTGGGTGGAGCGGGACGAGCGTGCGAACCAGATATTTCTCGGAGTGTGGAACGAGGCGAGGGACGACCAGCGATAAGAGACCAACAGAATCACAGCCGAGGAGATGGTGCCTTCAACAACGTAGAGCGCGGCCAAGACAAAGCAGAACGTGAGGAGCACGGCGAGTCTGGACAGCCCCCATGCACCGAGTGTGTCACATTCCGTCGCGTATGATCCAGGCAGTAGAGACTCGGCGCTCCGTTGTGCAGAGTGCGGCTTTCCCCTACTTTCTTCTTGAGGCAGGTCGTGGGTCGCAGTGCCTTGGAGCGGGGAGAATACAATCATCGCACTGCGGTTATCGATTTGTTGTTGCCACGCGAGGAGAAGAAAGACCAGCATAGACAGAAGAGATGCAGTTCCCTCTGAGCTCGATATATCTACCTCGACACGTGCGTCTTGTCGGACGCGCGTGCCGGTCGGTGTTGGCTTTGAATCTCGCCAGCGTACAACTTGTAGAACCGGTTGGTCCTCAGCGTCTTTCGTCGGCGCAGTGAGACGATGCAGGTCAAGAAGCATTTCAGCCAGACTGATGTTTGTATAGAGCGAGATGAGGAATGCGCCGGAGATTGACAGGCTGATGAGCGCGTGGGCGTGGGTCAGCGTGTCTCCAATGCATCCCCGCATGATGGACCAAGATAGATTCCACAACAGCGTTGGAGCAACAAGAGATCCGAGAATGATGTACTTCATCTCTTGAGCAAAAGACACGTAGAAAGTAGAAGGCGTAGTGTGTGGCTGAGGAGACGGTGGAGGAGAGAGGCGGTTGGACACCAAGTTTGACGCGTCCGTAGATGGTTGTCATGTGATAGATCGCTGACCCGGATGCTCGCTCCGGTGCTCCGAGCATCGAGTCTCGACTCTCTAGTACCCTCTAGGCTACCACTTGGAGTCCAATTCCAGGCTTGACTTATGCCTTAGAATCCCTAGCTCTCTCTCTCTCCATACCGAAGTGAATGTTCTCTAAGTGAATGTTCTCTCGAGTCTAAGAAGCCAACGATCAAATCGAATGCGCTGTCCTTGACTTGCACCCCGGTCTTCTCGATTATCCTTTGTCTGATACATAGGCCTTGGTCGCTTCCAGACAGCTGAAGCCTATCCCTCTTTGGACTTACAATGCAAGCAAGTACAATAAACAGGAGCTCCGCTGGGCACCGCCATCAGGACAAATTCGAGTCAAGTGACTGACCGTTGACGTCGGTCTGTATAAAGGTGCGAGAAATGGAGAAAATCGCCCGCAACCCCTCCATCCTCCGGACGTCCCTCACGACATAACGCACCACCCAATCATGACGACGCGCACGATATCCTCTCCCGCGATCTCGCCGAGCACTTCAATCAGCTCTGATGTGCAAAATCAGCCGTCTGTAGCCACTCCTTCCACTCCGCCGCTACAGAAGACACTTCACAAGAAGAAGTCCTCGGTAGATCTGCGGGCTGACTTCGAGAAGCTTGCGGCTGTCGTAGCTGTGGATTGAGCTCAATCATTTATGCCGTTCGTCGTCATTCTTTCCTCAGTTGTTTGCACGACACCTACATTTGAGCAGACGGCCCGCTTTCTCATTAACGTTTAACTTCGGACCCAAGATGCCTGTAACATAAATTTGCTGTACAAAGCATAGTGGTAGTCATACCACATGTACTCAATTCAAACCGCATTCAGAGGAGGCAGCACTTGCTGTTTCCCCTTCACTGGCCAAATCTCTGTCATCGTCGAGGCGTCCCAGAACCGTCCACCGCGCGCGACCATCGAGAGATTGACAGATTGGGAGATGTCGCCGTGGAGCAAGTCAATGCCTGGAGGATACACTACCAGATCAGCTAGTTTCCCGACCGAGACCGAGCCGAGCGAGTCGAACAAGCCCAGAGTGACTGCGGCCAACGATGTCGCCGACTGGAGCGTCTGCGAGTAACGGGGCGTCAGGGCATCTCAGTGCGTCAAATGGGCAGTCAAACCTCGTAGTTGCTCAGTCCTCCTGCCTGCGCGAAGGCGAGCTCCGCATGATAGTTTACTCCGTACGGCGGTTCGCCGTGCGCGCCAATGTGCGATCGCAGACCCATGTGCACCATCTTTGCAGACGAAGCTGACGTGTTGAAGAACTGATAAGCTGGGAGAAACATGAGACAGAACTAGTCGATGAATGGGGAAATCGTCCGCACAGTTCATGGGTCGTGAGGTCGATTCCGAGAGAACATCTAGTTTCGCATGCGGTACAAACGCCCGCAGTCTGCAGATGGATCAGCAGGTTGCAGGGATGAACCAGCGACAACAGCAGACTTGGGATCATTGGGCACATCTTGTGTTGCCCAGACTAGCTGTTCGCCCCAGGCTCCGCCGTAGTTGACAATATGCGTGGGTGTGTATGCAGTTCCGCTCAGAGCAAAAAGAGTAAGCACATCATCGAACAGCTGAGGAACTGGCAGCGCATGTTCCACAGTGGTCATTCCTGGGAGGATGATTGAGCCGAAATGCAGATAATGAAGCGAAGCACGCACCGTCGACGATGTAGGTGAGATCCCAGTCAAAGTTCATCCCACCCTCGGGAACACACAGCATGTTAATCTTCCGCCCCGCATTCAGCAGTCGCTGGCGAGAGGCACTGGAGCCATTCAGTACTGACTCAACATGTAATGATGCATCCCCTTACCGGATGGGCAGATTGTAGTTCTTGTAAGAAATGCTGCCAATTCCACCGGCAGCTCTCAAGCGGACCAAGGCGGAATACGCCTCAGCCTCGTCAGCAATGCTCTGATGCAGGCTCGGAGCAGCAGCACCATAGATAACAGCCCCGGTCGAGAAGATGCGGGATCCAACAGTCAGACCACTCTCCACACGCGATCGCTCCGCGAACGAATCGTCAGAAGCGCTTGGACTGGAGCGACGTCAGCCGTCGCCTAAAATTGTTACGAATCGGCACTCACTTGTGCAAGGTCGTCACACCATAGGCCAGGAAGGCTTGCAACTCCCATGAGGTAGCCGGGAAAATGGAATCAAAGTTGTTCCAATGGGCGTGCACATCAATGAATCCGGGGATGACGTAGCCTAGAGACGATTGAGACTCGCCGGATCGACGAACGTAAATGCTCACCTCCATGGGCATCAATGGCAGTCGCACCGGATGCCACGAAGCTGCCCGCTGGACCGACGCTCTCGATAACACCACCGCGGATGGTAACAACCCCGTCTCGGATCAGGTCCTTTGACAAATCGCCGGTTTCCATCGTCAGGATAGTCGCATTGAAGATGACGAAAACGTCCGAGTTGATTCCCTGCGCGTCCGATTGGGCGGCTTCTTTCTTCAGACGTGCGATGTCGGTGGAATGCTCGATCACAACCTCTTGGTATTCAAGCAAACCCTTCACACAAGAGATTCCGAAAGTGAGCGGGTCGGATTCAATCGCAGACGAGCACTTGTCCAGTTTGGAGACTTCGAGAGAGTGGAGATGTGGACCTAGGCAGCATGAGCATGAATCCAATGCAATAGCGACAACAAAACGCACCCAAGAACCACAACAGTTTCTTGCCGTCATCAGACCAGGTGACACCCGCACCCCCATCCAGGCTCACGCGAACGAGATTCTTCGTTGCGTTGCCTGGCTTAGACCACACAGCTTCATCCTCTTTGAGCCCATCTCCAGGAACGTAGTAAACGTTGAACGATTCGATGAAGGCCACTCCTCGCGGAGCATACCCCTTCTTGGTTTTCTTGGGCAGACTGGTTGCGATCTCTGAAGACATTCTACCAGTTGCCACTGTGTGATGAGGATATTTCCCTTCTATGCCAGAGGGTCCAGCAGCCAGATCAATAACAAACGAGCGGTCAGATTGTTGAACGAGGAGTGTCCCATTGTTATCTAGGAAGCGCATGTTGACCATGTCGTTGACGGAGATCTCCGAAGAGACGAAATGGACGTTTTTGAGCTCTGGGTTCTCACCCAGAGTCAGGTCAGCGAGATACAGGCCGGGCTTTGCAGTCGCGAGAATGTGCCCAGTTTGGTCATCGCCAGCGGACTTCAAAAATGCGATCGTGTTTCGTCCTTCAGAGACGGCGGGCGAGAAGTACCGCCCAAATGGCAGACCGGACAGCTCGTATGCTTTTCCCGATGTCAGGTCCGCGATCTCGAACGACGTGAAGTTCGTATTGGACCAGCGAGCGTGGATGACTGCATCGGGCGAGCCTGGGACCCATGCCGGGGAGTAGTACGGAGCCCGGGATGCAGAACCGGCACTGGTTTGGCGTGAGACTTCCCAACGCCTTGGACGTACGAAACAGCCCCCGCATCGAAGACGACGCGGCTCCCGGCAGCATCAGCCCGGACATTCCGGAACGAAGTCACCCGCTGGGTCGGCGCAGTCTCGACTCCAATGAGATCAAAGGATCCTGAGAGAGTATTCGCCAGTCGCTTCTCGATGTGAGCTCTGAAGGGGATCGGGGTCGGAGGGTGCGCTTTGTTAGCAACGCGCTCGCCCAAACTGTTCTTAGTGATTGGGACCGTGTAGATCTGCCCTCCAGCCCAGATGATGACGGCATCGTCGGAGGGCGTGAATGAGAAAGACGCGTATGTGCCCATCGGAGCGGAGATGACCCCCAGATCGTAGCTAAGACCATCCCAGATGTGATGTACAGATCCTGTCTCCAAATCCCTTGACGCGAATTAGCTGCTTGTCTGAAACACAAAATAAGCCCAAGAACATACTTGAAAACAAGCAACTCGTGGTCACGCTCTCTGCGCACAAATGCAAGCGTTCTCTGGTCACGTGAAAGTTGTGGCCGAGATGCACCACCTGGCGAAGAAGACACAAGAGTTTCCGTTTTTCCAGTTGTGATGTTATGGGAGAAAATAGAGTAGATGCCCTTGTGCACATCTGGAAGTTGTGAGACAATCCTTTCTCCAAAACAAGATGTACTGACCCTTGCTGTACGTGTACTGGTCCCCATCGATGCCGTTCTTGCTGAAGATGACACCATCTTCCCCGCGCCAAATGAACTGCTCCGGACCGACCTGCACTTCTCCATACATCTGCGGGCTCTCTCCGCGAGGAAGAGTCCGTCCTAGGACTCTCGCACCGCTGCCGACCTTGATTGTGCTGTTGTCCCCCGCTTCTGGGACAGGGAAGCGCCACCCTTCACCCGCTCCAAGCGAACGACTTGTCGTGTACCACTTGGTCGCAATGATTTCGGAACCGGACGGGTGGAAACGCGCGTCCGAAATCCAGCGATACGTCTCGTTCGTGACGCGTTGCGCATCAGAGCGCCCTTCACGAAGAAGACGATTCAGTCGACGCTGTTTCGTTTCCTTGACGCCTTGGGCGAGGAGCTCCTCGTCGCGGTTCTTGTCCTGAAGCGCACGCGTCAATGCGGGGTCGCTTCCGAACGCTCGGAGGTCCGCCGCCGCGCATCCAGCCCATGGCTTGACCCAGATGTTCTCAACACCGAGACCTGCGTCCGAGCGGAAGACAATGCGGTCGCCGGTGGGAGAGAAATGAGCGTCCGAGTCGTGGGGGACACCGAGGAGGATGGGGTGTGCCGTTACCGCGACACCACTTGCAGCACTGACTTCCGCGCGGGAGAGACAGTACAGATCACCCAGCATGTCAAACACGATGTCTCCCGACGTCGGATGAACATCCAAACGTAGCCAGGTCCCCTCTGTCACGTCGTATTCAAGCACACGCGGGTACTGGTAGTCGGTAGATATATCCCACGGAGTCTGCTCGCGTAGAGGAAACTCGTCGTCCTTCCATTCGATAGCCCCAGCCTGGGACAGAGAGACAGTTTTAAATGAGTGCATCCTGAGGGATGGGACTTGAAGGATTGTGGAAAGCACAGCGGCTGAGACGAGCAAAGCCAGGTATCTGAACGGCGACGACCTGGCCCTGACACCCGACTGAGGCTCATAGGGAGCCGGCAGGATCGAATTTCCCTTGGACTTTGCGTCCATGATGACAGAGCAAAGTCAAGGAGGATGGTTGGGAACCTACGCCTTATGCGCATCATCACGCCAGCGTCAGTTTGTGATGCGCGATAAGTCCACCCGCGGATCCGAGATGCCCGCGGCGGAGTCACGTGGACTGTCTTGCACGGTCAAAGCGCGTTCTTTGTTCGCCAGATACGATTCATGTTTTGACAGGAACTTATTCAGTCTGCCATTCGGAGCCTGTCGTCTTGCATATGCATATCGATGAATATCGTTTTCGTTCGTCCCACGGGCTTGACTCTGGATACCAAACAGTTGTTTTACATGTAATCGAAGTCGGAGTCATAGTCATCATAGTAGTTGTCAAACATGTAATGGTGATAGTCACCATAATCGTAATCTGCGTTGTATTCTTCTTCTTCTTCTTCTTCAGAATCGGTAAATCCAATTTCCAATCCATCCCACTCGACAGAAGAGACAATTTCCTTGAGGCCTCGCACATCCTCCTCGGTCAGGTGTTCGCATCTCTGCAACGTCAACGAGAACAACTCCTGGTTCCAGTGGCAACGCTCCATGATCGCTTCCCCGAACTGTTCGAGCGTCGCTTCCTCAAAGTTCATTCCGCACAAACACAGATGCCGGAGTGCAGGGAAGAACAGTCCGCCAGTGACAGCTGCAGCGCCGGCTTGATTGCGCCGACTCACGCGCCGTTCAACAGATTTGCGAACGACTGCTGCGATGGCCGGTGTCTGTTTGACACCCGAAACAACTACATCTTCTCCTAGACTCTTGAGAAATCCAACCGGACTCCCCACCACTTTGATGGCTCGTAGCTTGGGCAAATTAGGCACAGTGCTTGCAATCCAGGCCGCCGTGGAGATGCCGTGAGAGTCACTGAGAAAAGAGAGAGCGCGTAGATTGTTCAAAGGAAGTGTCTGGCAGATGAGTAGAAAAGTGCTCTCGTTTCCGTCATTCGATGGCAAGCGCCAGGACGCGGATATTTCCAGAGCCGAGTCTCGGAAGGCGGTGCCCTGGAAATCGACAGTGCGCATCCAAAGACGAACGATGACCCGGGAGTGCGTCATACCAATCTCAAGGGACCGTGGCGATCTCCCAGCGATATTGCAGGCAGAAAAAATAGGATGGCATGAGGAAGCCTTTTCTCCAAAGCATGCGACGTGCACTTTCGCTGACGACGGATATGTCATTTGACTGAGAATGCCGCAGCATTCCTCGACATTGTCCGCCAGCTCGAGACTTTCAAGATGGGCGAGTAAAACCCGAGGGCGAGCCTGCACAGCGATTGGCGGAAGTATATTCTTGAGTTCAAGTGACTCCAAAAGCGGCATGTGATCTAGCGCATCAAGCAACTCTTTCATCGTCATCGAGAGGGTAGACTCTTGTCTTGCGAAATGGACAACACGAAGACGCGTCAGATTTCGCAGCAAGGGCGAGTCCCATGCTATCGCGAAACCCGTCAGATCCACTCGGCGCAATCGAGGCGTATCTCCACCAAGAAATGTGGCAGGTAGGCTTAGCTGTCGCTTCGAGCTTAGTTTCCTTGCTTGGTTTGAGTGGTGGCGCAGAACGCACCGGCCCGCCGTAATGCCCTGTTGCCTCGAGATGAAGCGTGTGCAAGAAAGGAGCTGGGTCTGTAACAGGTCAAGCGCAAGGTCGGATGAGAGGCACAACAGCTGACCAGTCATATTGACGAGCAGACCTAGTTGAGCCAGGCGATCTTTGACATCAAAATCAAGTTCTCCCAGTCGGAAACTTGACTCAGAGCTCGGGTCAACAAGTCGATCATTCTTGGCGGAGTGTACACTTCGTGGAACTGAGGTAAAGATAAACAGCAAATAAGCAGCTAGTTCAATGGAAAGAACCTTGATAGTGAGTAGAGCCGATTTCGATCTCTCGAGCATCTCTTCAGCCCAGTCCAAGTGGCGGAAGGACGGATAGCTCCATACCCACGGAAACTCCAAGGCTACGGCGCGCCACTGCCGACATACGTGCGAGATCTCCCTGGTCCATCTCACGGAGTAGGAGTCCGAGAGTACTAGGCACAGAAATACACGAGACAAGACCTCGGGAGGCAGTCTGCTGATGGGGGCCAGAGCATTGCGTCGGGTTTGCAAAGCGGATATTTGTGCGAAATGGTGGCGAATATGTTGGTCAAGCTCCTGTTGCGCCTTTTCGACAACGCCGGGTTCACTGAAAGCGGTCACTTGATCTGCGCAAAGTGTTCAGTAGAGATCCTTCTGGTCGGAGAAGGGCGGCAAGTCGGGCCCACAACTCCAGTCAAAAAAGTTCCGCGTACCAGCCATCGAATCTGGTAGAGATTTGGATCAGGATTGGGCGAAAAGTCGAAGACCTGGATCAATTTGCGCCGTGAAGTCTTTCACGAATAGAGTTGAACAATGGTTGGAATGAAACGATGGCTGTGACTGGCGAGATCAAGGACTCATGGGAAGCATTATATCGACGTCACTACGTGGGGAAAACGCACGCGGGAGGCATCCTTTGTGCCATTTATCTTGAGACACTGCCTGTAAATTGGGTGGCGGCTTCTCATGGGTTTCTGTTGCTCACCTTAGTGAATCATTTATCACTGCCAGTGGTCACTGGTCCTTGTCCAACTTAGAGACCTCAGACCATGCATTGAAGATCAAAACATCAATACTACTAAACTTGATCTAGACCACGTCGCGCCCGCCATTGCTCGCAAGTTGTAGTGATCCATGGATTCATCTGAGCTCTACCATGTCAAAGCAGCAGTTCTTTTTAGGCGCCTACAAGTCCCTCATTGCCTCCCCCTTCCTGTTTCGTCTTCGTCTGACTACATACCCCGCTGGTGTACAAGGCCCGTTCTCACATCGCTCTCAACGACACCTCTGCAGTCGCTTCTATCGTGCCTGCGGGTTCGGAAAACGTCTCACTCAGGGCCGTTTCTGCCCTCGCCCGTTATGTATCTGGATCAGACGATGAGGCGGCACTAGAGGAGCTTCGCGACCTGGCTGTTGAGATTGAGGGTGACGATGTGGACGGGAGCGATAGGGATAAAAATTCGGTCCGTGTGATGGCTGGAACCGCATTTGCGCGTGCCGGAGAGATTGAGGAAGCTTTGGAGACGTTGGGCTCAGAACTGAGACTTAGAAGCGTAAGTTCCTTATGATGCGTCGCTGCTCCGTCTCATCTCCTGTTAGGGTGGCCGTCGTCGTACAAATCTACCTTTCTATCAACCGGCCTGATCGTGCGAAGAACGAAGGAGTTTGAGCGAAGCAAACATTGGGCTGAAGATGATCTACTTCTTCAGCTCTAGAATCATCCATCGGTCGTGTAGCGGCCCAAAGTGGATACTCAACGCGAACTCGTTCTATACCGAA